AAGGAAATGATACCTATACGTAATTTATTATAAAAATACTTGTATTTAATTGCTAAATAATGAATATGTATAAAAACAACATATATACATCTATATATATTTCAATTATAGATCTATTATCAACACAAATGTTATAATTATTTTTTTATTGATAAAAATCCTTTTTAAAAGGAAAAGATCAAATTCAAAATATCATCTAAAAATTACCAATTGATAAAGAATAATAAGTGATTGAGAAAAATTAAAATAGAATAATATGTTTTTATATCTTGTTTGCCTATTCATATATTCGTATATTCGTATTGACTAAATACGAATGTATGTATAATAATCAGCGCAATATCAGTTATAACAGTTAAGATACATTTGAAAAAAATATTTTTTGATATCTTGCAAATATTAAAGTATAATTATACTATGTACAAATCTATTTTTAAAAATTCTCTGACTGTTAAAACTTTATAATAACAACATATAACATAAGATAAATTAAAAAATATTATATTCACACAAAAAGATCTTCTTCGTACACTTTTAAATCTCTCCTATCTTTATGTGCACTTTTTTGAGAATAATTCGCTGCAATCGGTGACCACATAGAACTAGATGTAGCATCGGTCATAGATTCTATTATAGGTTGTCTTCGTGCTAATGATACTTTTAATTGAATAGAAGATACCATACTACCATCCATCTCACTAATTGCTCTTTCAGCAGCTTCCGTTTTATCAAATGTGACAAATCCACGACTAAAATTTTAAATATTAATGATGAGATTAGACCTTTCAAATGAAAGTAAATTGAATAAATATTTGAAACTAATTCTAATTACTTTTTTTCTGCTTCCATTGAAATATTTATAATATTTCCAAATGTTTGAAAATGTTTCTTCAAAAAATCTTCCGATATCTTATAACCACATACAAATATTGTATTTCCAGCTCTTGGCTTCATTTCTTGTTTAGATGGTGATTGTACATCTCTACTAGTTCGATCTTCTGTATCTTGAGCACTCACAAAACTATCATATAAATCTTTAACTCTTGGTCTTACTGTTTCTGGTTCTTCTTCTTCCATTTGTGTGGCTGAGAATGGTTGATAAGAACTTACTGTTTTTTCTGTACTATTTAATTTTCTTACTAATCCACGCGGTCTTTTAAAAGATTGTTCTGGTCGTTTGGGAGTTTTTGGAGCTGTAATTACTCCAGATTTTATCAACTTTTTGGCAACTTCCCTAGCATCTCTAGCCTCTGTAGGCCGTTTTGGCGTTTGTGGTACACGTTCAGTTTCTTGTTTTGGAGCTTTCAAATCTTGTAGTGCTTTTTTCTTTTAAAAATTAATATTAAATTATATAAAATTATATAAAATTATATAAAATTAACATATATAGTAAAAAAAATAAAATTAAAAAAGGTAATCGTAGAAACTAAAAAATAACCTAAAAATAGCAATAACATTCTATCGTAAAATATTTTATTTAAAAATTTAAAAATTTCAAATAAGAATTTACATATAAATAACATTTAATCTAATTATGTAACTGTATATAAATAAATAAATTCATAATATATTTAAAAAATTAAAATATTTATTATAATAAAATATAAACATAACCTATAAATATATACCTTTCTTTTAAGTTTATTATATTTCGCTTGCAACATCAATTCTTCTTCTGTTAAATTTGATGGAAAATGTAAGTATACCATATTTTGCATGTAATAGAAAGAAATATAAATTTCTTCTTATTCACACAAAATTATTAATATAATACCCAAAGTCAATGTTTATGTTTTACTTTCTTATTTAATATATATACATCCAAAAATTTTAATCACATGTGTTGGCAAACATGAAACTCTTCATGATGATACAGACAAGAATAGCAAATATTCGAAAAAAGATAGAGATACGCTAAATATACTAAAAATCAGCGACATTTCTAGAGTGTCTCAAGTAAAACATAAATATAAATAAAAAAAGCAAAAGAAGGATAGAAAAAAAATTAAAATATTGAAATCAATGATTCTTTAAAATGTTGCAAATGAAACTTATAAAGAAAGAATAGAAAATAGTAAGAGAAGAATAGATTACAAAGAATTAGCCATGAATGCCATCTTTTGAAAACTAAAGATATTTGTTCAAAGAAACATCTTTTTAAAAGAATTCAGAGATGGCTCTAATGACCAATTCTTAGTTTATCTCTATCCTTCTTTTATTATTTTCTTCCTTTTTTCTGCGTTCCTTTTTTATGCGTTTCATTTACAACACTCTAAAGATGGCATTGATTTCACTATTTTCTCTTATCTCTGTCCTTCTTTATTCTTTTTATTTATTCTATACTTACTCGCATCACGTGATCACAGATGAGGTAGGAATATTAATTGAACATATTTTTATAATTTCTCTTTTAAAAATGTATCTTAATATTTAATGTAAAAATATAGATATTCTCGATTTTACAATGTATCTCAATGATCTTGAATAAATATATATCCTAATATATATTTTTTTGCATCGCTGTGAACAGCGGTGAACTATAAATAAAAGCCAACAAAATTCAGTCAACAAAAAGAATAAAAAACAATTTTAAAATATTCGAAAAACGATACTATCAAAGATTGATCTTTAATTTTAATTATGATTATTCTGAATTAAATCAATAATATTAATAATCTTTATTTTAATAAAGAAAATAATTAAACATTAAGATAGTAGATGATAAGTTTTAGTTTTCTCAAAATATAGAAAAGTACATTAATATTTAAATGATGTTTAGTATAAAAATATTTGTAAAATTGAATAGTTTTTATTTAATAATTTTTAGTTATGTTAAAAAAAATTAAGAAAATAAATAAGAAATAAAGAATGAAAAAAATTAAAAATATATTATGTTGAAAAAAATAACATTTTCAGACTAAATGAAATTAATAAATAATTAATGAATTTAAAAAATTGCTAAAAATTAATTTAAAAATATCTTATTCGTCTTTATATAAAATGTATATTTGTTTAGCTCATAAATATATTATCTAAGTAAATAATCTCTTCTATAAAATAATAAAGTAATAAATTTTATAAGAAAAAAATAAAACATGAAATAAAAACATAGTTTCAACGAAATATTTATTCAGTCCATTTCAAACGATTCACGCAAAAAAGTATATTAAAAATTAATGGATATAACAATCGTCAAAGGCAAGAGAAAACACCAGTAAATACAAACAATAAAATTCAATCACTTCGGTATTCAATTATTAATATAAGTGAACATAATTTGCTTTGTAGTGTATAATACAAAAACATATTTAATCGTCAATAATGAAAAGAATTCATTAGAAACTACAATCATAATATTTAAAGTTTGCGCGTTACAATTTCGACATTATCTTATCTGCAAAAAGATACAATACGACTTTTAATGTCATTTGTATTACTTCATTAACATAAATATATGTAAATACTTCAATATTTTAAACATTAATCAAAAGATGGCGAAATACTCACGTTCAATTCAAAACTAAAATACTTAAAAAGTTTAAATATATACTTAAGTAGAGATATATAAATATTGAAAATTGTTATAGGAATATATGTAAATATTGAATATTGAAAATTAATGAAATAGTAAATTTGCAATAGATTTCTTTTCCTTATAATAACAAAGAAGTGTTTGAGAAAAAAGTTTTAAAAACTATTTAATAACATATAATTCAAACGAAAAGTTCATTCAAATAATCGATAATGTTCGCAGTCTTACAAACTTTTTAAATCAGTACAAACAAATATAAAAATATCAATGGGGTTACAGAGTGCTTAAATTTAAATTTTTTCTGATAATTTATAAATTTCAAATTTATTATTCGCACATATACTACTATTATGCACAAAAGAGACTACTTCAATATTTGGTAATTACAAAAACAAATTAAAGCCTAGTTCGTTAAATTACAAATGATACAATGGGATTCAAAATAATATGAAAAGAAGATAAAAAGAATTAAGTCTTTCATTATTTTCAAATACAGCAAAAATACTAATACTCCAAATATGTAATGACAAATAGTAAGCAATTTTTAAATAAGAAACTGAAAAAATTATCAATGATAATTTTTTAGTTCGTAATTATTTTTCATAACCGTATGTAAAATTTATTTATTTTATAAAATATAGAAGAAATGATTTTTATCATTATTTTTTTTTTTTAATATTTATATTATATGTAATTATATCATTGATAAAATTATAATTTTTAATTATCATTTTTAATGAAAGAATAAATTTTATTAATAATTCAAAACACAATCAATAGATCTGCATTTCGTAATTTTTTCAATTATTATAATGATATGCATCAACAAGATTTTCACAGCATGAAACTTGCTATTATTTGTATTTTTTTTTTTTTTTCTTCATTTTCCTTCCTTACTTTATAAACATCTAGATTGTCATGTTTATAACAAGTTATCAATATCGATATAATCACACGCGAACGATTTGAACTAGGCTTTCATGTAACAAATATATTATAAATATAAATTACAGTTATATATTGAAAATTGTTGAGAGCATTGTAAATTGTTGTACAACAATCGATATTATTATTTCAAAGATATATATATATATATATATAAATTCCTCCTTTTTTATATAATGAATTTTTAATACTTCTATCGAATTTTAATTCAATGCGCTTGCCTTGATGAAACAATTGCAAAGAAATAATAAATCATGAACAGTCTATCAAAACGTTCTAATAAGTGACAGGGATTAACAACAACTTTGTATTTAACCCTTTCAGCACCAAAATTTCTAAAAATGTAGTATTAATAAAAAATGCCAAGTTAAACTGTTGGTAAATGCAAAAAGGATGGTGTGCTACATGCATACATTGCATTATCGTACATTTTAATACAAAACATATTTTTATATGTATATATATATTTATATATTCTGTTTACCGATGTATGGTGATATTGATATGAAGAAAGATATCAATATTTGATTCACAAGTTTTATTATTTACAAGCATTGGTCTACAAAATGTAAATTTGGTGAATTTCTTTCAAGAATCTTTTATTTTCATTATATCGAAAATTCGATTTGTAGGAAATAGTTCTAATGCCAAAAAGTGGCTAAATATACTTTTTTGGTTTTTTCCAGGGATACAGATTTTTTTTTGTACCCATAACATGTAATGAATGATAGCATACATAATTAAATAAATTAAAACAGATTGTATAGGATACATATCTGGCCAAAATTAATATTTATATTTCATCGATTAATCTTTTTTTAATTTGATAATAGTAACGCTAATAATATAAAATTGTATCAGTTATTAATAAATTCGTAGAATGTATCAATTATTAATAAATTCATAGAATGTATATTTAATATATCCAAAATCATAGAAAATATTTGTATTTTTGAAATAGTTATTGAATTTAAACAGTTATATAAGCGCTACTACTTTCAAATTAAATAATTGAACTCAAGACTTATGATACTATTATATTGTAAGAATGCAATTTAACCTATACTGGCATTAAAAGGGTTAATTATGTTGTGTCAGATAAATGTTTTCTTTTTCTTTTCTTTTTTTTTCTTAAACATCAACAAATATGAATATACTCTGTGCTGTATTTTGACATTAAAAATATTTAACATTTTAAACAAGATGATTAGCTAAAACGTTTTGATACAGATATGTGAAGATATAAAAATTCTTGAGATTAAGAAATGTATTAAGGAATTTGTGAAAATAATGTAGTTGCAGGAACTCCAAATACATATATATGTCAATTACACACACACATATCATAAGAAGTCCATAGTTTAAATTCGAATTATCACCATTAATTCATTTTTTTTTTTTCTTCTTTCTTATACATAATTCACTATTATTTAGCACTTTCATTATTTTCATCAGTATTTGTGCTTTTGAATGAAATTCTATAGCTTAATAATCCATATGTTATTGGGAATTTTATGATCCTTATGGTATTAAAACACATTGAAATGAAACGAGATAATCTGAATTTGAAATCTTTTGGTAATGAGTAATATTTCACAAATTCAAGGAATTTTATAAATCCGATTGGTTCGAAGAGCCAAAAAACTTTAAAGACGTGGAAGCTTTGAAATATTGAAGACTTACTGAAGCACAGAATATTTTGTAATTGTTGAGTACTTGATTCCACAAATACCTGACACGATGTTATCACTTTGTACGCAAACGTTTCATGTTCCCACACATGCCTATTTAACAATTGTTTTTCAGAATACGTATGTTCAATGGAGGATCATTCACCATCCAAATATATTCTAAGCGCTTTTTCTTTACGCGCATTATAACGTGATGCAGAGGAAAGTGGTAAAAAAGGTGATACTTCTCGAATTGCGATATCATTGTACTCTTCTTGTGTTAATGGTTGTGAAGTTTCCCTGCTATCTCTATTAAATAGAAATTTCGGAAGTTAATTATTTTTATATTTTACTTTAATCATTTTATACATTCTATATCATAATTATTTTTAAGATATAAGACATACCTATATAAGAATACAGCACCATCTTCAACATTAAGTTCGTCACCAGATGTTAATTCAATCCAATCTTCATCATTTTCAACTCGTACAACAGGTATATGTACTGAACCCTTTCCTCTCATTATATTTATATACTTTTCTGGTATATCCGATATCAAAGATAACTAAATAAAAATTCAACATTATTATTTGATTACTTTCTTTTAATAAATATATAATTTCTTCATTTAACCTACTTTTTTCATCATTTCTTCCATTGTTGTTTCATCTAAAACAATTTCTTGAGGTGGTCCAAAGTGTCTTTTTGTAGGGAACCAACGTCGGACAAATATAATAACTTGATTACTATTGGTAACTGGATCTTTATCAGGTAACTCTTGTACAATCATTTCAAATTGAGAATAAAACTGAAAGTCCTTGAATTTTTGATGATCTAAAAGTACTTTCGATGGTAACACAAAACACTTTTCTCTTAATCGACATCTTTCGTATGGTATCTCTATATTATATCTTCTTTTCATTTCTGCAAGAATCTCTTTTTTCGCTTGGCCTACAGTCATATCTTCCGAAACTATCCATTCGAACAAAAATTTGCCCTGTTAAAAAAAATGTTATCATTTATATTAATAATAATATTGTTAATTAAAATTACAAAATATACAAAATATACAAAATATAAGAAAATTTATTATACCTCAGCCGAATCAAGGAAAAATTGATGCAATTTTACTGTAAATTCACCATTACGTAAAGCCCGTCCTATCTCTATCCAAAGTTTTTCTCCGTCTTCGTAAGAAACAAGCTGACTAAGTAAACAGCTACAGTCTGATTCACCGCATTCATCAAAATAGCGACAAATTTTGAAATATTCTGCGGGTACACCTACATATGGTTCTAAATTTTTCTTCAAGGTATTGAATATCATTCTTTTGTCTACTAATACTTTCAGAACTGAAGTCAAAGTAATTATTATTAAATATTTTTGTTTTAAATATTTTATAAAACAAATTTAAAATACATACATTTCTCATTGTGATTTGTATATGGAGTAGCTTTAAAATAATATTCTGAATCATCGATAATATTATCCCAGTTTTCGATTCCAACTTGATTTAACATTTTAATAGCTCGATTACTCGTACTCGATGGAAGATAAGGTAATTGAAAATCATCATCTCCTGGAGCGTCTCCAACTAATGTTTTGTCACTATCACTCAGACTACTATCTTCACTATTACTTTGTTCTGGAGTATGCCATTCTTCACCCTCTCCTAATTGAGGACTTGCATTTCTTACTGGAGTATCTTCAATAAGTTTTCCACCTTTTAAAGTATCATTACATTTTGTACCACTATCTCGATGAGATTCAGTAATACTTGCTTTTGATGGACTGTCAATTACAGATTTTTCTTTATCTTTACATACTTCTTCTAACATAGGAATATTTAATTCATCCAACATTTCTGCATTTAGCAAAATATAATATATATTATAATTTTTGAAAAGAATATTCAAAAGAATTATTCAATAAAAATACATTTACTTACCTTTACTTGGATTAGGAGGTAATCTTATGCGTAGAGTTATAATATTTTCCAATTGTTCAGCAATTCTAGATATTGTTGTTTCCAAATAAGATTTATTACATTCAGCATCACAATTAGTACATACAAATACTTTAACTAAATTACAAAATTCTGCAACTGCCAATATAGCGTCATCATTTTGTACGAGTATTGTATCTGTTCCGTGTTTTCGTAAAATTATTTTCATATCATCTGGATCCATATTAACAAATTTTCCTACTACTTGTTTATATTCTTTCACTGTTTGTGTAAATAAACCTCGTACATTTAATGGTCCTTCAATAAGTTTTTTTCTAGCTACATCGACGACATATAATTTAGTTACAATACCTATTAAAAGAAATAAAAAATTTATTTAATATAATGAATATACATATAAATATGTACAAACAAATACGTACCACCTCGTAAATGTGGCTCAAATTTTTGATCTTTATCACGTATTTCTAACAATAAACTATATCGATTCACTCGATGACACCAAATATTTGCAAATGTTTCATGTTCTCTACCCTCATAGCTAGCCACAATCAAGTCATTGTTGGGATCATAAGCAACTAAACGACATTGATTTAAGCTTACCATGCCTTCCAAACAAAAGTTTTTATAAACATACTTTGTCGTTTCAGCCCAAGTTGCATTAGGCAAAAAGGAAAGTCTAAAATTCAGTTTTTTATCTTCTGTAGGATGTTGACAATATACTTTTACTTTAGGTGTGGCTAGATCTTTTTCACGACTTTTTCTATCATTATCTTCATTTTCTTTCATTTTTTTTAATAATTCCTGAAATAAAATATTATAAAAAAAGAAAAAAAGATATCATTAAATAGAATAATATCCCCTAATATTTTACCTGTATATGTTTTGGAAAATCTTGTACTTGCATAGGTAAAGTATTACGAGTGGGATCAATTTGTCTATACATGAGCATATAAGCATTAGTACTACTATAAGCTCCACTGAAATATGATCTGGTTGAACCACCACCATATGTTTTCTGAATATCATCATGAGTTATCTATAATTAATACAATAATACAAAATTTATAACAACATCATATATTTAAATAGTATTTACTTTTTTTTATTAGGATTTATTAGGATTATAAATAAATATTATTAAATACCTGCGTTACACTTTGATCATTAAAACAAAACCATTCTTGTGTTCTAAAATCTTTTATATAAGCATAGTAATGGCCACCACTAGCGCTACCGCTATGAATCATAATTGAAAATAATTCATAATTATAAGGTCCTTTTGCTGCATTACTATTACGATTTTTTTCATTTTCATGATTATGCATAGTACAATTCGATGTTGAAGGTCCATTACTCATATCTATGCCTAAAAATAAAATATTTAAATAATTATTAATTATTAAAATGTATACAAAATAATTAATTAATATATTGTGACTCTTAAAGACTAAAATAAACATAAAAATTAATATATGAAAATAATGGTTAAAGCTTATTTATTAAGTTATAAGTAATTTAAATTTGTATTAAATGAAATTTTATTGTATAATTTATAAAAACAATATACCTTCATCATCATCTTGATCATGATTTGTTGAATGATTACTATTAGGAAGACTGTTTTCACAGGGAGGACAATCATCATCTAATGTGCCACTATCTGTTATAGAATTATCATCGCATTTTGCTAAACTATTATTTTCATCAGTACTTGGAGATTCTTGGAGATTTGGCATTGAAGCAATAAAAGAATTTAAATTTAATGTATCCGGAAAAGTAACCCTAAAATTAAAAGTTTAATATAAAAACATAAGATTAATGAAAAAATATTAAAAAAAAAAAAAATTCATATATACTTACTTATCATTAAGTTTAATTCTATGAAAGGTTTTGAAATCAAAATCAAATCGTTTAAGATGAAGGGTTAAAAGATAAGGAAATTTTGTGAATTTTAATCCTTTATGAGCATCACATTTTTTATTACATTTTTCACAATGATATTGATTACTTCCTTCTAAAATTTCATACTGAACAAATGCTCTTAAAGCTTCTTCCTATTAAAAATAATATTTTATATAATAAATTTTATTTATAAATAAAAATATAACATAATAACTTACCACACTAGTATATGCCACATTGCTACCAAATGGTCTTACTGGTAATGGTATATCAAGGAAAGTATCTTCTCTAGATTTTTCAGTACCACATTCAAGACATTTAACATAATCAATCATCTTTCCTAACAATATAAAAATCAAATTACAAACTCCTTTCTAATATTCATAAATGTTTCAAATGTACATACCTTCATAAAGTCTATTTATCAAATCAGCTTGTTCAGTATTTTTAAATTTTTGTTCTAAAGCATCAAACATAACTCTGCAAAGTTCTTGAATATCATGTTGTTGCCAAGCTTCTGTAGAATCCCAACCAAAGCTTTTTGTTAATGAGGTAGTTTCTACTGCTGATTTTGTTGATGTCTATAAATATAAAAAATGTACTTAAATATGTTTTTATAATCATAAATTCATAAAATTATAAAATATATTTTATGTAATTGTACTGTAATTATGTAAACCTGTAAATTTAAAAATAACTTCTGTAATTGATATGGAATACTATTGGCTTCGTCTTTTTCTGATCCATCTATATATTCCCAATTGTACAATGCATTTCGAAATTCAGGAGTCATATATAATGCTTGTAATAAACTATTTAAGTAACATGTCATTGCTTGATTGACTAAACCAACATAATCTTAAAAAGAATATCATGAAAAATTAATAATAAAATATATCATTATAAAATTTTAATTTGTATTATTGCAAAAAAAAAATAAAGTATAATAAAATATCACATACTTGTTTCAGATTTAATAAGACTTTTGAAATCAATATTATTATCTTCACCCCATACTGATGAATGATTAGGAGATGGTGGAGGAGGATTATATGCAGACTGATGGCGCATAATACAATATGATGATTGCTTCTGCATTAAGATATCTGTTGGGTCCATAACTAATAATGTGGGTTTGTGTTCACTTGAAGATTCTCGATCAAAAGAAAAATCCACACCAATTTCTGACATTGTTTTATCTTTCACTTCTGATAAATTAATCTAATGGTAATAATAATTTTAATTTATATGAAAAAAACACCAGTAAACTATTGATAAATAATTATATTAATAATGAAACAAAAAGAAATATTACTAACCAATTTCCCAGCTGATACTAAATATAATTGAAAACTGTCTTGTGGTATTTGACAATGTTCTTCAATATAAACATAAAGCTCCTCACCACGGGTAGATTCATGTAATAGTAGTCTGTCACTGGTAAACTTATCTTTAAATCCAGATAGACTACATTGAATGAAACATATTTGACCAGCTCTACAAACCATGGTCTGCAATAAGAGATTAAATAAAATATGCAATATCTGAAAGAAATTTAATTTATTTTTTAAAAATAATTTATTGTGGATAATTCAATAAAAATGCAATCTAATTTTAAATATATTCTTAAAAAATTATGTAATTTAATATTATTTTAATTTACACAACATCAATTATTGTTTGTTTTTTAATAAAATAAAATTATATTTTTACATGAAAATATTCAAAAATTTAATAAATTAATTATATTTATATTATTTTTAAAATAAATTAAAATTATTATTAAACAAAAAGAGATTAATAAGTATTACCATAAATATATAGAAAAAAAAGGAATATTCACTTTTAATTAATAAATATAATATTTAGAGATAATGTTACAACTGATCAGTAATTTTCAGACAAATAAAATTGGCAATATGCCATACTAAAGGTAGAAAATGAGGGAGATCTACGCAACACAGTAAGATACTACTCTGCACAGTATGACACAGTAAGGAAAGCCTATAGAGCCTCCAGTTATATTTAGAATGTCTAAACGAAGACTTGGAAAATGGCTCTCTTCTCCGACATCAGAATTCTCCCCTCTCTTTTTCTTTCTTCCTTACTCTATTACTACTTCCCTATTCTACATTTTCTCTTATATAAATGCCAAATAAATTAAAATAAATTTTTCTATTAAATTTTATAAATTAAATTTCCTAATATAATATACAAAATATAAATTATTTTATATATGAATAAATTTTTAGAAACAGAATGCTATTTTTTATTAAAATGATACAACAATATAAAAAATAATCTATTACAATTATTCATATGTAAATTTCTTTTAATATTTATAATCAGAGTTAATATCTATCACACTTAATACTTACTAGCAATATATATTGTAGAGTCCAGTCTTCGTATACCTTTTTATTGTTTCAATCTAAAAGATTTCAAAACAATATAAAATTACAATTGACATTTATCCAAATCCAAAATTTCATAAAATTTTAAAAACTAACATTTTTATCTTGTAATAATGTATTATCTTGTATTAAATTACATTTCACCAATAAACTTCTTTTATCAAGTATTGCTACAGTCTCTGAAAGTAGCAATAAAAATCACTTCTTCTTACATTTTTTACAAACACAGACAAGATAACCATCCTTTCGTTTTATTTAAACCAACAAAATGAACATTCGTAAATAAGAAATTATAAATTTAAAGTTCGAATTAGTGTTACTAACTTGCACAAATAATGTATTAAATGTTATTGTAACAGAACTTTTTTTAATAAAAACAACACATAATGTAAACAAGTCACAAAACAAGAGTCCACGAAATACAAGCACAAATAATTAATATATTTCACACTTTTACCGATGACTGTTAAAAATCTAAAGACGAAAAACGTGTAACACGATTTAAAATGTTTGTACGATGAAAAAACGTTTGATTAGACGAACGAAAATCGAGCGCATAATACTCAGAAGATCGGAATGCGCTCTTGTGCTAATACAAACGAGTTAAAACAAGGCTTTTCGTTTCATGACGATTAACAAAATGTTGTCTGATGATATATACGATTCTTGGCCAATATTAGTATTTTAATGAATAAGAAAACATTCAATTTATGCCACGCTAGTTTGTTAACTAACAAGACACTAACAAGAATAAACGTAAGGTCTTATGAAATGGCTGGTCAAATACTCGTCTTGTTGGAACTCACGTTTAATGAGATTTACACTTGAATAATTCGTTTTTGAATCTGTTAATCATATTTACATTCTTTCATCACATAAATTCTAATCGGAGAACTTCTTTCGTACATCAATATAGAAATTTTCGGTATAATATTTGACTCCTTACCGAAATCACTAAGAGACATGTGCGACGTTCACTTTACGCCATATTTTCTACACAACACAGTTCGGTGCTGCCATGTAATAATGCCAATCAAAAACTACGAGCATAAAGAAGATATAGCATAGATTAAATACCTAGTAATACATTTTTATGTTACTCAATTTAAAAAATGTACATCTTTCATTATTTTTGTATTTTTTTTGGTGTCAATTCAATATTATCAGTTTAACATAGAAAAAAGATTACATTACTTGTGTTTGAAAACTAAATTTAGTGAAAGATAAATACACGTTTCAAAAATAAAGTTTAAAATATAAGAATGAATTATAATTATAAGATCGCTTACAATATTGTTCCAAATGAATTAAAAAAATCAATGTTTTTTTTATAAAAATATTTTAATACATTATTACTATAACTTTTTTAACTAAAATTATTAAATTTTAATTTTCACTAATAATTTTTATATTATACAAATAAATGCGTGTATATATGGCATGTGTATGTGTGAGAAAATAAGAATAAATTCTGTAATATTATTACTTACTAATATCAACATAAGCAAATTTATTTATGATAATTATTTATAATAATTATAAAATAACAAAAACAAGGCTATCAATGTTAATTTTAATAGTTTTTGGAACGTAAATGGAATTGTTAAGCAATATAGCGACTATAGCGCTACTCGTATTGTAGCAACATCAATGCATACCAGTCTATGATATATCTGCGATGGTGTAGTAGTCGCCATAGAACTCATAAAATTGCTTGAAGTACTCGATGAATTTCGGGTAAGTTTATTCATTAATTTATGTCGATGTATTGATAATTAAAATTAACATTTAATGTTTTATTTAAAAGTTCAAACAGCATTTACAAAAATTATTTTGCAAACATCGTTCTGAATGACCTTTTTATGAGTATCATAGAATCGAACCGACAATTTTTTTTATACATACAAAATGAAATATTCATTGATAATAAAAAAATATTATATATGAAATTCTTTAAATTGATAAAAAATCGTAATATTAAAAAAATTAAAAATTATTTTTATAAAATATATTTAATTATAAAATTATAACATTAAAATTAATGTGCCAATTTATGAAATTGACAGTTCGTAATAATTGAAGTTAAAAATCTTTTTTATTTATTTTTTTTTTTATCTAATAAATTTAATTTCTGAATATTATTCTTTTTTATTATAGGTATTTAAAGATTTTCTTTGCTTCTAATGAAGCTCATTTTATATAACAAATGACAGATGGATAAAACTAAGTTTTATAAATTAACTTCTACTTCCACTATATGATCAAACGATCAGAATAAATATTATTTGTCTATATTGGAATACTAAGCATTATCAAAATGAATATTAATTCAATAGGCATAGTTGATCTGTTTAATTTATTGGAATCCAACAAACTTGGGGAGGTAGAAGAAATTAAAAAAGTATTTCATGAACTTTTTTTGTGTAGTAAGTAAGGTTATAAATTTAAAGATATTTCATAATTTTGTTTTTCTTTTAATGATTTTTTAAAATTTTACAGCAAAAGACAATTGGCTGGTAAATGGTCTTTTCGATTATTATCTGTCCACGAATTCCTTAAGAGCTGTTGAAGTATTAGCTGGTGTTCGTGATCCACATGATAAGCATCTTTTAGATCGTTTATCAGAAGCTCTTTCTAAATCTGGAAGTAGCAGCCAAAGAATTCAAACTCTTACTTTATTAGGTCATATTGCCCGTCGTCAGCCAACTTGGTTATACAAGCTTGCGAGTCATACTTTATTTCGGGATTTACTTAAGTTACTTAAGGTAGAATTAAATTTTAACAAAAATTAATAAATTTGTTGAATAACAATCAATTTTATAATTTTAGATGGAAGCAGATACATTATCTCTTATGAGTGCACTTTTACTCTTAGTAATGTTATTGCCAATGTTACCTGCTGCTTTAGGGCCATATCTCTCAGAAATTTTTGAAGTATTTGGTCGATTGGCCTCTTATTATCATCATCAGTCATCATCTATATTTTCATCTCCTATGCATTTTACTTCAAAAACAATAACAGGGACAATAGATAAAAATCATTTATATTTATTACATTTGCAAGTAAGTATATTTATACAAATTAATATTATTTATAAATGTAAGAAAAGATAAATAGTATTTTTTGAATTTTTTGTAGATCGGATTATATAGTTTATTTCACAGATTGTATGCCATGTATCCTTGTAACTTTATTTCATATTTAAAACAACAGTACATTCAACGAGATCAATTAGCTACTTTTACTCATACAATTAGACCAATGTTAGATTCAGTGCGTATGCATCCTTTACTTGTTACTGCTTCTAAGGATACAGAGATTTCTGCTGCTAGGTATTTTTTATTACAAAAAATCCTAATTTAGAAAAAAGATTATATTATATTATAAAAAGATATATTTATCGCATATTTCATTATTTTTTAGATGGAAAAAAATGGAGCATCATGATATTATGGCAGAATGTGGTCGTTTTACGTTAGATAAATGTCGAGAGGAAGTATTTCGTACTACAAATTCACGTTCTACGCCACCTTTAGGTTTGTAAATTTTATTAAAAAAATATACATGTAATTATGAATGTAGTTATACTATCAGTATATGTTCCAGATTATTCTTCTATGTGTGCTCCAATAAACATTAGTGGAGGAATAGCACCATCAGAAATCAGTAATGGTGAAGATGATACATTCTGGTCACCAAGTATGGTAGTGCCACCACATAGTCCTCAGTTTCCAGTTACATCTCATGAACAACGATCTACTCCATCAACACCTAATAATAATAGAAGTGGTACATCTCCACCAGAAGCTGCAGTTGAAGCTACTCCAGAAACAACTCCTGTTAAGGTATGTTTAAGAATTTCCAAAAAAAATAAATCGAAATTATGCTTATAATTTTATTATTTAGGATTTACGAAAGTTATCAACGAGGCAAGTACCTACTGGTTCTGTCGCAGTTCGTGCTCTTACTGCATTTGGTAATGGTACAGTAGGTTCAAATTCACGACCATCTACACCGATTCCTTTAAATCCGTCTGTGTCTGGCTCTTTAATTGGAAGTGGAAATGCAAACAATGCACATGGTTTTTTTTCGCACAAGCTAAGTAAAATTATCGCAGATAGACAAACTATCGCTCAACAAAAGTCAACTATTAACATCGATGAAGATGGAAAATTTTCAGAAATGAATACACAGAATGGGAAAAACGATTCTTGGCAAGAAGATCAAGAGGTTCTGTATTTTATATACTTTTGTATGTAAGAATATTGTATATTAACAAATATTGGTATATATGTTTCTACAGTATTCTATTGTGCAGGTTTTAGAAATTGTAAGCTCTCAAACTACTGGAAAATTGGAAAGTTCAAAATATTTTGAACAACAAGAACATCATAATGAAAAAATGCAAAATGCTATTGCAAATTTGTCTCAAAAAGTTTATCACCTTCGTTTGTATTCTCAAACAAGTCAAATTTCAACACATTTAAATTTGAATTCTCTTTTTAAAGTGAGATATTTTTATCAGTATATTTAATATTTAATATTATTTAATATTTTTTACAAAGCAAAAAAGAAATTTCAATATGATAAAAATATATATTTACAGATTAGAAAAAGCAAATCTTGTCCCGATATCAAAGTTCAAAAACAAATTATTGATGATAAACGAGATATAATGAAAATAATAGCGACAAAAAAATTAGAAGAAACGGGAACACAAACTTTCGATTTGCTTCCGTATGAATATTTATTGTTAGGAATTCTGGATCAAAAAAATGAAATGAATTTACAAAAACATTCGTCTCAAGATACAGAACTTAGATTGTCACCAACTGCAATGCTTGATCGATATGTCGAAGCTTGTACGCATTCTGGTAATTATTATGGTGACAAAATGAATAATATAAAATAAAATTCAATAAAACAAATTTTATTTTTAGTCAATAGAAATTTTATAAAATATTTTTCTTCAAAGGGACTAATGCAATTAAACAGAAACAAAAAAAAGAAAATGATGGAGAAGATGAGATAGGAGAAGAAGATGTATTTGATATTGAATGTGCAAATCAGTTATTACAGCTTATGCAAATGCAACTTCAATTTGAACGGCAGCGTAGAGAAGTTCACGCTGAACGTAATCGAAGACTTCTTGGTAAACTGAGGGATTCACGTGCATTAGAAGAACACAATTATGCTTTGGTCAGTTGGAATTATTTATTCAAAATAAGATTTGATATCATTTTTAATTAATTATTGTTAAATACAAAATTCTTATCACGTAGACTGATCGTTTGAAAATAATGGAAAAAGAAGTAGAAAGCTTAAAAATTGAATTAGAGCGTAATAAAAAAGAAGCTTGCCAAACTGAAGATCAATATAAAGATGCATTACATCATTGGCAAACTAAGGTAAAATCAATGAAAATTCTATTAATTTTATCGATTTTATTATTAAAAAAAATTTGTATAATAATATAATTAATAACATACAGTGTATTGAAGAACAACGACAAAATCAGATAGTAAAAGATCGTCTTGAATCTGTTGAACTTGAATTAAAAAATGAACAAAAAAAAGTAGCAGACTATGAACGGCAAATTCGTTCTACGGAGGCTTCTCTGTTCGATGCAGGTCATCAACTAAGAGTAGCTTTAAAAGCTGCAAATCGTAGTAAAGAATTAGAACGTAATCTTGATATTATTCAGAAAAAATTTCTTCTACTTAGAGAGGTAATATTTTTAAAAAATTTTATACATTTTTATATAATATCAAGTTTATTTTTGTATATCTATAGGCACAAGTAAAATTACAAGAAAGTACAAGTGGTCCTTCACCAATGACAAAGCAAGAAATAATACAAATACAAAAATCATATTCAGAAGAATTAACTAGTAAGTAAATTTCAATTATTTAAAATTAATTTTAGAAATATATTATAAATAACTAATATAAATTACTCAATAATATTATAATAGATTTACGACGACAATTGGAATCGCGAACATCTTTTGTAGAAGCTTTGAAAATACGTTTAAGTGAACTAGAAAATAAAGAAGCGCGAAAAGAAGCGCAACTTGTAGAACTTCAACGACTTTTACAAGAAACAAAAGATCAACATGAAGCCGAATTGGAAGCTGTTGAATCAAAATATAAAGCACAAGCTGAAATCAATCTTCTTCTTGAAAGTCGTATACTTGAATTTCATGGAACACTAGAATCAGCAACTTGCAGTAATACTACTGTAAACAATTTAGCATCTTCAGCATCACCTAAAGAAAGATCACCTCCATTGTCAGCTAGTTTAGCTTCTTCTAGTGAGGGAAGTCTTGCCTTTATTCATTCAAGTACTGGAATAATAATGAATGACTGCTGTGATACCGCAGGCGAAATTCCTAATCTTCAAGCTATTGTCGAACCTGTGCCAAGCCAGGCTACATCACCATCTCGTCAAAATCGGAATCCTAAACAAGACTAACGCTACGCAAATCTGATATCTTTTCGCATGCAGTTATTCTTTTTTGCACGTGTACAACTGTTATCCAGTGACGTGGTATTAAATCAGAAGAAAGTTATTTGTAGCTTTTTATCGACATATTATGCAGAATTCATAAAAATATTATTATCGCGTGATTTCGATAAATAATTGAAAATATACTGGTAATTAATAAAATTACTAGCATGATATATATAATTTCACTCTTAAAAAATGAATTCACAATGAATAAATGGTTGAGATATTTTGTGAGCAATTTTGTATGTCTCAACTGTTAAACACATCCTTGTATTACTTCCCTTTATTAAGATATATTTTATTCATCATTTTTATATATGAATTTCTTCAATGAATTAAGAAAAAATTACTTCAATCTAAAAAAAGTGTATATATTATAGAGCATAATAAGATTTTTATAACTACCATACATAATACTGAATAATTAATATTTGCCTATAAAAATGAGTCACGAATATGTTAAAACATAAAATATCCGATAATGCGAAAAATATGTTTTTTACTTATTCAATTAAAATCATATTTAAGTAAACAAACAATGAATATATCAAATTTCTATAATAAAAAACACTGCCATTTTTCTTTTATTAATAAGTTTGTAATTCGCGACTCATAGTCATAAGAATTGCATCATCTGGATTAGCATAATTCGCCAAATCTGGAAAAAATCAACAAAGAAAAAATATTTTTCTTCAATTAAAAAAGATTTCTTTAAATATCAAAAATTATTTTGGTTAGTATTACTTATATATTCACATAATCGTTACTCACGATTATGACCTGTATGTATCGGTGATATCTTAAGTTTTCGTAATAACAGTTGAATGAGCCAGAAACAAAGTAACCATAGTAATGCACCTACTGAAAATACCCTTAATGTTATAACACCTCCATATGTATCTATTAACCATCCACATATAAAACTACCACTTGATACTCCTGAAAATAATTATTAATGTATAGATATTGATTATTTATGAATTAAGTTACAATTAGTTAACTTTTTTTTTAATTTAATATTACTAACCAATTCCTTCAAATATAGCACCAATAAATCCTTGTATAGTAGCTTTAGTACCAGATGGCGTTATTTTATCACCATATGATACCATTGTAGGCCAGCAAAGACCTACAGTAGGTCCATGAAGTATTTCAATAATTAAAAACCACCATGGATTTGATACAGTACTATATGCCATAAATCTATAAAAATTATATGATTATGAATCAAATAATAGAAAGAAATTTAGAAATATTTAAAAGAAATTTTATTACTTACCTAATTGCATAAATCAGTAAAACTAAACTCATGACATTTACATGACCTAATTTTCGTAGTACATTTCCTGAGATGAAATTAAATGGTAGTTCTCCTAAAAAACACTGTACACCAGTCAAAAGGCCTTGTAAAGTTTTCAGATGTGTTATTTGAAAACTAGAGTTTGCTAGGTCTTCAGTATACCAAAATAGAAAATTCCACACTACACTAGTACACATTCCAGTTCCTATACACCACCATCCAAATGCCAAAACATTGCCTTCTCTAAGAATGGTGAATAGTTCCAATAATATTGAAGGTTCATCCTCAGAGTATTCTGGACTTTTCTGTAATGATACTGCTTTCTCCCATTACCTGCCAATTTTTTATTCTTTTGATAAGTAAGAAGTATCAAACTTCTGTACTATCTAAACTTCTACCTATTTTTAACATCATATATGTTAAAAAACTGTACCTTTCTTAAAGTTGTAGATATAATGATATCAAAAATCATAATGATCAACATAATATAAAATATACAAGTATAATCTTTTTGAAGCTTTCCTGCACTAAATATATCTACAAGATATCCTGCGCTTACTCCAAAAATACCAAAACCAATACTACCCCACATTTTTTGTTTTCCATATTCATTTCTTCTTTCATTTCCTATAATATACAATTATAAAAAAAAAATTAAATATTTAATAATAAACATAACATATATGCTACTAACCAAGAAGATTAAAACATATAGCATCTGTTATGCTAACTATAACTGCCATTCCAATCCAACTTATTACAGTTGCCCATAAAAATGAATAAAATTGGTATGTTGAATTCTGTGTAGAATTCTCAGAAACATCAATTTCATATAATAATTGATTAAAGATTGGATTATCATAACATGTAGCTATACATGATGTTCTCACATGATGTTTACAAGCTGGTGTGTATATAGCACCATCTGAGAATTTAGCAGTAAAAATACGTATATACATACAATTATTTATCTGTAAAATAAAGAATTTAAATATTTCTAAATAAACAATTATAAAAAATTATTTTCAAAATATCTTACATAGAAATCATGAAATATATCAAATGTTAAAGTAAAATTAAATGTATCTGTATCCAAAATAATACTTGAATTTTCCAATTCACAAAAATGAGATACTTTCCAATATGAACAGATTTCTAAATAAATTTCTTTCGTGGCTTTACAAGATACCTAAAAAAATATCATCATACAAAATAATATTATTATAATTATATATATAAAGATTAAAATATATTATATGAAATAATATTTATAAATAAATTATAAAAATATTATACCTGACACGATTTATTTAAGTGAAGCTCTGTTATTACATCTTGTATAATTTTATCAGAAAATCCATGCTTTGAACACATTTCTAAAGTTGCTTCACCATTACAAGTAAGATAAACATTTGCTTTATTATGTATTTCAGGTATAAAATATATTGTGAAAAGAGCTATTGCAACTATAACTTGAAATATTAAAAATAATATTTTATGAATTTTAAATTTGTCAGCCAATGCTCCAAATAAAGGTTTTGCTATTAAACCAGAAATTGGTAATATTGTATATATTGTGCCTACTAAAAAGCCAGAAAATCCTAATTGTTTTGCTATTGTTGGTAAGAATGGTACTATTGGTCCAGTAGCTAAAAGATAAAAAATATAATTTTTTATAATATTTTATAAAATTCAATATTTAAATTTTAATAAAATGAATTAATATAATATTACCTGCATTAAATAAAAAATAATGTGCTTTTATTGGTAGCAATCTGTTATTTATATTTTCAAACATTTTAGAATTTTGTCATAAATTAAAAAAAATAAATATAAATTATCACCTGCAAATAATATATATTTTTAAAAAATTATTTTAATTTTTATATTTCTTTAAATAAATAAAACGAATTAATATAATTAATTATTATTAATTAACACCAATTTAAAACTAATAATAATAATAATATAAAGCTTTATAGATATATTTATAATAAAAATTTTTTACATTATCTCATGAATAATCTAAATATGTACTTTGTTCAGAAATACTTTATTAAAAACTACTTTTTATTAAAAATACGAATCCCACTTGCTGAATGTGCAATTTTTTTTATCTGAATCATAAAATATAGATATCATTGAATAGAAACTTATAGATATTATATTCAGATTCTTGTATATTATTGTAATATTATATTAAATTTTTTATAATTATGATTATGATTATATATTATAAATTTGATGCAATTTAGTTCCAAAAATTTTTGTAAATTACAATTAGTTTTTTTCTAATATTTCTATAATGCACATTTTTTATAATATTAATCAATAAGGAATTATAGATTTTGATAACAATATGTATGTAATAATATTTGCAACAATATTGATCACATCGGATTATCAAATTCTTATTAAAATTAACACTTTCACTGAATTGAAAATTTTTATTAAAACGATTAAGTAGATTAGATATAATTATATTTATTAATTTGTGGTAGAAAGATATCATACAATATATACAGATGAAATACAATATAGATCATAAAAGAAATATAGAATAGACATGACATGCGATGCATGTTTTAAGAATTTGCCTTTGGGCCATCTGTTTTTTTTTTTTAGTATTTTCATGTTATATGCATCATTATCGATTCAAAATGGAATTAGATAACAGCGCTACTGTGGTTAATTGCTAAGAAGAATTATAATTAAATATGTCACATGCGATATTATCGATTTAGAACGAAATTAGATAGCAACGCTATTTAGAAAACGAGAGGAATTATAATTAAATCATACATTATCATTAAATTGAATGTAATTTCTAAGCTCATCATTTTAAATTGTAAAAAGTAACATAAAATGTCTAAAATGTTACAAAATATCTTATCCTATTCCTTTTCTGTAGCATGATATATAAATATATTAAATAAGAAGATATTGCATGTTAATAATTTATCACTTTTTTAAATTATAAATTTTCTATAATAGAAATATTATCTGTTATAATTTAAATAAACATCTTAACTTTATAAAAAAAAATTATAACAAAAATTAAATAAAGAAATAGATAAATTATATTCATTATATTCAAATATCGAACACAAGTTTGTAACAAACTGTGCTTTAATCTGTCTCATCGATACATTTACAATATACATTTACAATATATATGTATATATTTATAAGTTTTAATATACCGCGCTTCCTTTTTTATTTTTTCAGCAATAAGGTGGGTTAATGTATGATTGCAGTGTACATATTACACTTTATTTTGTCATTCATGAGATACGACGCACATTCATACTAGCGCATATACACACGATGTACATACATCTTCCATTCTTGCTATATCCTATAATTTCCCGTTGTTTATTTCTTTTAATCTTCGCGGACGATTCTACAATGTCCTTTGACTTTGCAGATCTTTCTTTACATCGAGCACATTGTCTATGAAGGATATGTAATTTTATATACAAAGAAACAAATTTCTAACTTACGCACTAACGAATCTATCTAACTCTACATAAGATACACCAGCAACAGTGCGCTCCATATCATACAAAAATTCTTTTGAAAATTAAAAGTTACATAGATTTTTTTGAATGTCTAGCAATTTTTGAATACAAAAAAAAGGGAAGCAACATATTTTCCACAGGTAAAACAATTACGTATGGCCATAAACGAACCATTATCTTTTTTATCTTAAAAAAAAGTTACATAAATCATGTCTTGGTAGATTGAGAAAAAAGGACATTTTTAAGAGCGCAATAGATAGAGGAACTTTTGATAGAAGGTTACTTCCGGCACTAGCGACTGAACTTATATCTAAGTTGTCGACTAGTCATTAGAAAAAACTATCAAAAATTCCTACATAAAGTAGGCTTATTCTTTATATACATATAACTACATAATAGATTACCTATTAAAGGTAAACTTTGTTTCTAATATATCGTGTAAAAATGTCAAAGATTCATATTCGTATTTTTTGATAAAAAAAGGAAACAAATGCGAAAAGTGGGGAAGACAAGTCGGTGGAAAAACAATTTTGATTTCAGAGAGAGCTTTAAAAATTTGTTATTTGTAAGTCAATAAGTAAAATATTTACAAAAGGAAAAAAAGAAAAAAAATAGAAAAAATAAACGATCAAAATTTCTTGATCGTGTATTTTTTACTGTTTGACGTTATGAGTTTAATGTATTAACAATCTCAAGAAATAATCAAAATATTCTTCCATTCTTATAAATACAGTACCGAAATTTTTCATCAAAAAAAAAAAAAGCCAAACAAACAAACAAAAATAATAATAATAAAAAGAAATTAAAAAATTAATAAAAAGAAAATAAATGTCTGGAAAACTATATCGCGTCCATTAACAAAAGATAAATGAATTGAGTCATATAAAAAAATTAAAAAGAATCCATGATCTCGTAATATATTTTGAAAACCCTTGTCCTTATCAATTAAACCAGAAAAACATCGGTACTGTTCCTTTTTCTTTTTTTATCTCGAAGGAAGAAAATTTTTATTATTGTTGCACAGCGCGAGATTAAATAGAATAATATTTACAATCGCATTTTATATAATATTTTCATAAAATTTTCTTTTGCATCTCATTAAGAGACCAAACAAAACATTATTTTAAGATTAATATAATTCAATTAGATAAAAAAAGAAAGCTACTATATTAGCAATATCTCTCGTTTCAAATATTCATTCATTCAGATTTTTAAAGAAATAATGCATCCACCGAAATGTCACATACAAATGTTCCGAAACAGCCATTACAAAGATTTTAACGGCTAAAGCCAGGACGGTCGATGATGATGGGGCGGCGGTTGAAGTGCATACAAGGAATGAATGTATTGTTGATAAGCAGTTGGATCCATCGTTAAATTTGGGCCATGCGGCGTGACGTAAGCCGACACTGGAGGTCCATAAGCTGCTGGTCTTTGAGCGGAATGAAGGAAAGGATGAGGCGGATAGTTTCTCGGCGGTTGATTGCTAAGTTTGTTGCAAGCCTGCTGCGTAGCATCCGTGACCGGTGGAACTTGTTGTTGCTGCTGCTGTTGTTGCTGCCTGAGCGCCATACTGTAATAACTATTTGGATTTCGAAATTCATCCAAAAATGCAAATGCCGCTGCGGCTGCTGATGCGTCTTTATCGTAGAAAGGTGAACTAGTTGTGGTGCTAGTTGACGCAGCAAAATTGAAGGCACTCCCAGTTGGTGGGACCATAGTGGTGTTCTTCAGACCTATAGAATCCGCGGATGTTCCCGTATATTGTGGAAAACCAGGTATTCCTGTACCAGATTGTGGCTCTGTACTAACCACTGAAACGCTCGTCACGTTTTGCTGTTCTTGTTGTTGTTTACTCTTCCTACTTTTTTTCGTTTTTACAGGCGTGGATGTAGAACTAACGGACGACTCTCCACTCCTACGAGATGATGACATCGATAGAATACCTTGCGTATTCTTCGCGGCTGCTGTCTGCAAACTTTGAAGTAAATTTAAATCTAGTTCTGTGGCGCCAGAAGTTGGATTACGCGCGTACGTTAAATGTTCCGGTTTCGTTGGCGGTGGTCGAGGAATGTTCAATAATTGTTGTTGCTCTTTACCTGTACGACCTACCAAACCTAGACCTAGACGAGCATATGCTGGATTTGTTGCTACGGAATCGGCCAAGTTCCCGACGAATGCAGTGTCAAATTGACTAGCTGAAACTGCATCTGGTTGCGGCAATGCCATTATAGGATCGAATCCGAATTGCTCTTGACCTGTTGTTCTTGCTGCGGTCTCCTGCGCCAAACCACGAGATGACTCTGTGGACGATTCATTATAAATACGTTTCTTTACAGGAGCCAAATTACTGGTCGAACTATTCGCTGTTCCGCTGTTGGCGACAGCTTTCGAATTGGCATCGAAATAATGTGGACTAGGATACACCGGTCTGGAATTCGACATCGGATAACCAGATGATTGGAAACCACTAGGGTAAAGAGATTCGTGTGGTGTCAAATTTTGCTGGAATGCTAAGATTTGCGATTGATCTTGAGTTGATCGTTGCTGAGTATATTTCTGAACATTTAGAGAATTGCTGAGATCGGTGAAACTGGGCCGTTCCTGAGATGATTGCTGCGATTGTTCCTGACCACCATGCCTTGAAACAGATCTCTGAAGATCGATGTTAGGATAATTATTTCCAAATGTTGGCGGATATTGATTTGGCGATTGATAGATCTGATGATTTGTATTCAAATTCAATGATGCAGCTTCCGAAGATACGGTAAAATTTCTTTGTTGCTCTATGTTCGATGACTTTTCAGTGGTGCTAGATTTTAAATAATCCGTTCGATGCTCTGTTTCATTTAACGTCGATGATGCTGGTGATTGAATATAAGGATGATTCTGCTTGTATCCATGGGAGTAATTCGAAGGTGTCGAGGCAGTTTGCGGGTATTCTTCTGCGCTTTTAGAGTGTGATTGCGGTAAACTGTAATTTGTACTTTGCTGCGGAGACGGCTGTGAATAACTTGAAGGCTGCTGTGAAGATTGCGACGTCTGTGATGCGCACATGGATTTCTGTTGGGGTGATGGTTGGGAATAAGTATGAGTTTGTTGAGGCGACGGCGCTGGTTGAGAATAATTGTGCGATTGCTGAGAAGATGGTGATGGCTGAGAATAGTTACGGGACTGTTGAGGAGATGGAGATGGTTGTGAGTAGTTACGAGATTGCTGAGGTGATGGTTGAGAATAATTGCTTGGTGGTGCTTGCTGAGGAGACATCTGAGAATAATTCTGTGATTTTTGAGGTGAGTGTATCGAGTGCGAGTAATTGGTAGATTGTTGAGGAGAAGGCTGAGAATACTTAACTGCTTGTTGCGGAGATGATTGAGAATAAGATGCATTTTGCGGAGAAGGTTGAGAATATGAGGGCGGTGCTTGTGGAGAATGTTGAGGAAACGTTTGAATTTGTTGAGGTGATGGTTGGGAATAATTTCGTGGCTGAGGAGATGATTGAGAGTAACCCGCTGTGAGTGATTGAGGCGAAGATTGCGCATAATTGGAAGAATGCGTCTGAGACGATGGATGTGAAAAGTTTGAAGATTGAGATTGTTGAGGATACACAGGAGGAGGTTGAGGCGATGGCTGGGAATAATTTGAAGGTGGTTGAGGTGATGGTTGAGAATAATTGGAAGGTGGTTGTGGTGATGATTGAGAATAATTGGAAGGCGGTTGAGGTGATGGTTGAGAGTAATTGGAAGGTGGTTGAGGTGATGGTTGAGAATAACTAGAAGGTGGTTGAGGTGATGATTGAGAATAATTGGAAGGTGGTTGAGGTGAAGCTTGAGAATAATTGGAAGGTGGTTGAGGCGATGTTTGAGAATAATTCGTAGGTGGTTGTGGTGATTGTTGAGAATAATTTGATGGTGGTTGAGGAGACAATTGAGAATATCCGGATGATTGTTGCGGAGATTGTGCATATGGAGAATGTTGTTGTTGTGGTGAGGATTGAGAATAATTTGGCGGTGCTTGAGGAGAAGCTTGAGAATACGGTGAGTGTGGTTGTTGAGGCGAAGATTGAGAATAAGTGGCAGATTGCGGAGATGGTTGTGAATAATTGGCGGCGTTTTGTTGCGGAGAAACTTGTGAATATTTGGGAGTGGAAGGTTGCTGAGGAGATGGTTGTGAATAATTTGATGGTGGTGGCTGAGGGGAAGGCTGTGGATATACTTGTTGTATAGGCTGTGGTGAATGCTGTGAATAAACTGGAGATTGATTTTGATTAGAAGACAATTGTTGATTGTATGCTTCGTTTTGTGTAGAATTCTGAGAGAAATTAGTTTGCGGCGATCGTTGAGGAAATGTGGGTGACAATTGATGATACATTTCCCTAGAATTTTCCTGAGGTGATTTCTGGAACGTTTGATGCGATTGTTGGGCAGGTATTTGGTACAGAGGCGCTTGTTCATATGATGATGATGGATAAGCTGGGGATAAAGGATGATTTTGTGGTGATGGAGTGGGAGGTAATTGAGCACTGTATCTTGGTGGTGTGGCATAATAAGGACTATTGTAAGGGCTACTTCCTGTCGATAAAGCGTCCTGATAGAATCCAGCTCCTCTAATTTGCGGCTCAATCGAAGCCATTATAGGTTGTCCTTGTGGAGATCGACCTGAACGTCCAGGGGGTGACTCTTGGGAAAAACTCGAAACAGATTCACTTACACTACTACCACCAGTACTCATTCTTCTTTGTCTACCACAAAACACTTCCTGCAATTCACCATCCTTCTTTGTTATACCATCCTCTGATTCTTCATCTTTCTTTTTTAACTTTGGCGCTCCGAACGCTTTGAACCAAGCACTCAAATTTGGCGTCGCTGCTTTGGGTTTCTGCGTGTCCTTTACATTAGACTGATTATCTTTAGATTCTTCTACGACCGTAGTTGTTTGCGTCGTTGTTATTCCTGATGTGTTTTCTTCTTTTAGACTAGACACTGGGATTGCAGGAAGAGTATTGTGATCTTCTTCTTCATCGTCATTTGAAAAATTGGGATTGGGCGAGGAAACTAGACTCTTACAAATTAACTGTATGGAATCTACATTTTTCAAAACTGTTCCTAAACTAAGTTTCGGTTCTTCATCTGAATTCTTATTCGTTTGATCATTATCGCTGGTCAACTGCACCGCTGTTTCGGTGGTATTAACATTAGGTAAATTTAATGGTTTTTTTAAAAGTAAATTTCCCTTACTTTTTCCAGGTTGTAAACGATCTATTGTACGTTGAATTTTTTTTGGTCTGGTAGGTCCATGAGGACCAAAAATTTTAATAGAACTTGGTCGTTTTCTAGGTGCTTCTACTTTTGGACCTGATCGGCTAGATTCAACGGACGAAGAATGAAATATTGGTGAATCGCTTCCTGAAGAAAATTCAGAGAGTCTTGGTGCGTCATCAAGCCATTTGTTGATATCCTATTTGAAGATAAAAATAAAATAAAATAAAATATAGTTATGTATAAAATATTATATAATAACTACAATTATTTAAACGTGAAACATAAAATATTCTTACATGAAGTGTTTGTTCTGTTGCTTGATTCAAGGCTTGCATGGAGCTTTCTTCTTTTCCAAATCCTTTGGTATGCTTTGATTGAGATACTTTTACTTTTTTCTCGGTGACTTCTTGGTCGTGAGTTGTGAGGGAATCTTCGGTAGGAACTTTTTCTTCTTTTATTCCTTTTTTAAACTTTGGTCGTTTTACGCTGGCTTTATCGCTGTCGTGAAAGGTACTACCATTTGAAGGCACTTTTTTTGAATACATATTGTGAAGATCATTCTTCCCAGTTTTCTTTTGTTTCTCTTTCTCATTTTTCAATTTTTCTTCTCGCCGTCTCTCACTTATTTTATCTTTTAAACCATCCAATGATTCTATGTCTTTATCACCTATAAATGGGGAAATCTTCTTAGATGTATGTGTTTCTTTCGAATCTATATCACTTTCTAGATCTATGTCTTTGGAATCTATTTCACTTGATATTTCTCCATTTTTAAGTTCATCATTTTTTTGTTTTGATTTTTTCTCTTTATCTTTAACTCGACTTTTCTCAGACTTCTCATCAGATTTTAATATTTTTAACCCCGTTTTATCCTTTTTCCGATTTTTTTTGACCTTAACATGCTGTGTTTTCTCTTCTTTTTCCGGTACTGTTTCGTCTTCAAGAGATTCGGTTTTTTTCATTTTATTCTTCTTCGCATTATCTGTAAATATTTCGGTATCCTCCAGTTCTTTCTTTTCGATCTTTCTACTTTTACTTTTTGCAACGACTAGGGGTTCATAATCTTCTTCGAAATCTTCCTTTCTCTTCTTATTTTCTTTTGATTCTTTTATCGGCCGCACATTTTCCATTTCTTTTTTTTGTTGATGACGTTCTTTACTAATTTTTTTATCTATCTTCTTAAGCTCTTCTGATTCTTTGGATGTTAGCTTTTTGGTTTTTAATAATAAATTATTCCCATCAGCATGTTTTCTTCTTTTCGATGTTATAATACTTGATTCAGACATTGCATCTTCGCTCTCTTGTTCTTCCTGCTCTTCTTCATTTACAGATTCTTCGTCTTTTGCTCTTTTGTTCTTTTTCTTTCCTCTCTTTTTCTTTGGAAGCTTATAATTTTTTCCTCGTTTTTCTTCTTCATCATTTTTATCATTTGTTTTGGATTTTCCTTTACTTTCAGATTTATATGATTTCGATTTTTTCGTAGATTTTTTCGAACGTTTTCTATTTTGATGAGGCGATGAAACACGAGAAGGACACGATGGAGATGCCGGAGTAGCAAGAAATGATTTCGGCGATGAGGGATCCTCATCGCTAGATGTTTCCGATTCCAAATAACGATTTACTGCTTTATCAAATGCTTCCTTAAGATTAAATGCCATTTCTGTATATTCTAGAATAAAAAGAAAAATATATAAGTTTGAAAATAATATATTATTAACAATATATAATATATTTTTTTGAAAATAAAAAATACTAACCATTATCAGAACCATTATATTGCCTACAATTATCTACTATCAGTCGAAAATCACGTTTGAATTCACTTAGACTTTTATATAAACTATTTTCAAGTTTTTCTTCCATTGTACTAAGATCCATAGGTTTTCGTACCACGCTATAGTATCTATATAAAATAATAATAACAATAATATCAGTTTCGAGTTTAAAATATAATAATATAATAATATATATAATTGTAATACCTTGGGGCATATTCTTCATCCACAGGATCAATAAATGGCCAAGCATCAACATGATCTTTAAGACTTTCAAGAACTTTGTGCATTCCAACGCGACGTTCTTCTTCTTCAATTCCAAATGAGTAACCATACTTATATCCATAATTAGAAGATACATAATGTCCATCACTATTGCTGCCAATCCCTTTCTTTTTTTCTAATCCCTCCACTTCATCCCTGGTATGAATCACAATCTGACCAACAGCTGAAGCCAACGAATTATTAGTTTGCCGTCCTTTCTTTTGAACTGGCGGAGAAGGTAAAGGCGGAGGTGTATCCTCTTTAACATAAACGTTCTTTGAATTTTGTGTCCCCTTTTTACTCCCTTTGTTTGTTTTAGTTTTGATCTTCGATCTAACCATGACTGTTTCCATCTGTGTCGTAGGTTCGTGACTTCGAAGTACACGTGAACTATTACGTTGTAACAATTTGCGTCTTTGTTGTTTTTCTTTTAAATCAAAAAGTTTAGGGATTTCGGGCATGAAATCCTCGGATAGAGTACGGTAAAGTTTACGTTCGGTATCGTACTCCTAAGTATTATAATAACATCGTTAGCAGAATCTAAGGAATAAAATAATTAATTCGTTTAATAGGACAATTACCGAATCACGAAATTTTTCAACTAGACGACTCCAATCCTGCTGAGTAAAGCAGACAACCTGCCAAACACTTTCTTTTCCTTCTCTGTGTATTAAACTGTCTTCCTTCTTCTCCTCCTCTTCCTCTTCCTCCTTCGCCACTCTGCTTCGTCGTCTTTTACGTTTTTTATCCCTAGGTTTACTTTTCTGTTTGTGTGAGATGCTGTTAGAAGTATCAATGTAGTCCTCCCTATATAATCGAGTGCCGTAAAAGTACCAATAGGCAGAATTCTTACGATCATGTCCTAAAGGTTCGACTCGCAGACTATCCGAGTCCAAATTATTTAATGATTGCTCCTAAAATTTACAAACGAAAATTAATTACTATGCCATTATTAGTATAATATACTAGAATTAGTATACTATGCCAACTTTATAAACAAAATTTCTAAATCAATTCATTTTTTAAACACATACCACGTCTTCAGCGTCAAGCCTGAAGTCACAAAGAGCACGTAAGATTTCTACTTTTTGACGAAGAGGTAATAATTCAAAATCTACATCTGTATTAAAAGGATTCTCACACTTGTATTCCTGAATATAATATGAAATAAAATTTTGTTTTAATAATACATGGATAATATTAGATATAATTTTTAATAATTGAAGATATAAAAATAAAAAAACTAATTTACCTGACATTTCTTTCGAAAAAGTCTACGAAGAAACATTTGATAATTAAAGGTAGAGATGTCATTGCGAGTATCATTTGGTAAACAACCTTCAAGTAACCTGACTATTAATTCCTGTACTAAACGTCCTTCAGTTCCACCATCCGTTAATAAAGCTTCTTCGAGATCCTATAATAATATATATAATTATAAAAAAAGAATTGGTGCAACCATGATAAAAAATGTCTTTAAAAACATAAAGCTGAAGCGTGATGTATTTAATTTCCTGAAAGCTAAAGCAATATACTAACAAATTTCATGTACAATGCTCGAAAGAGTCAACATTTAGGTAGGTACCTCAATATCAAAGTCCAGAAGATTGAAGGCAGCCCTAAATAATGAGCAGAAGTGTGCTATACTTGGCACCTCCCACCACGATTGAATGTCTAAAAAAATAAAGGAACAATTGAGAGTTCCTTGATATTATGTTCTTTTGATCTTTGGAATGCATGTTTTCTTTTCATATTCAAAATATTTCATTTAGCCAAAAACATAATTAATAAATCTAAATCTGTGAACATCAATATAGCTATATAGTTATAATTTATATCATAAAGACAAATATGTATATATATTAAAAAATAATTTTTATTTTAATATTGTTATAAATATGCATTAACACAAGAGTATTACAAATACAATATTAATATAAATTATTATTATAATAAATGCATAGATAAGTGTATATTTTAAATGATTTTAATATACTGAATTCAAAATACTGGTAGTGCATTATATTTACGATGCATTTTTTATTATTCTATTTCATTATAAATTTTTTTAATATTTTTTATAGATATATAAAACATAACTTTCTAATTTATATTATTTAAATTATTTTATGATAATTATTTTAAAAATAATATAAAAATTTTACTGAAAATTTAATTATCAATGTTCATATGATTAATATTTACAATTAAATATTTGAAAAATTATTCTTTAATAACAATAAATTTTGAATCAATTTCTTAAAGTAACATTTACACTAAATTTTAATTTTTAATAGAAATAACTTTTAAATGTATATTTATATTATTAATAATATGTAATTATTTATTTATTTATGTAATTATTTATTTATAAATTATATTATTTATAATATATTTAATAAATTGTAAATTTTATTTATGTATTTATTTTTTTTTTATGTATAATTTTTAGTACTTCATTAAAATAATAAAACTATCATTAAGTAATTAAAATAAATATTTATAAAAAAAATTTTATTATATTAAAGAAATAAAAAATTTTGAAAAGCTTTCTAAAATATGATAAAATAAAACATTTTTAACAATATTAATCGCAAATACAAATATAAATACGACCGTGCATTGATACCTTATGTAGAATGTAATACAATAGGGAAAAAAACAATGAAAATAATTCTGTTGCTAAACTTGGGGTCATTGACAAGAGCTCTCAATTGTAAGCATCGATCTTCCTAGTGGTATAGTATAATAATTAAGAAAAGAAAAAAATTCATAAAGTATCTTATCATAATTCTTTCTCTTCATGACGAAAGGAAATGAAAGCTCACCTAAGATTCCGATGAAAGTGGGAAACATAACCCGTCCTGTGGCGGGCAAACCGGGCAAATCACGTCAGGGCGGATAAAAATTGTTGAAAACACTATGATGAAATACGTGTTGTTCTAGCCTTTTTTAAAAATATAATTCAAATAGATAAAAAAAACGAAATCCAGAATGTAGAAACGATAATAGCCAAGCAAAACACTTTCGCTTGGCGAAGACGATCGTTTTTAAAATACCGGGATGCACATCAAAGGGATATGACACCCATAGTCTTCGTAGAGACAAAAGAGCGGGCAATCGCAATTCCACATAGCTTGTCCCGCCGCTAGCAAACGGACTCGAATAGTGAAGTACATTCGTCCACTGGCAGCTCCCAAGGAATAACTATCGTCGATTTATTTTGGCACAACACTGCACGGGTTGCCAGCGATGCGCGCGACACTTGCAACCATTCTAATCGAGTAACAATCCAGTCTCAAAACAACCACTAATAAATTGCACATTCATTTGACGCGGCCACATCAACACAAATAGCGAATGTCTATCGTCTATAAAATCTCGTTGATCACCAGCAGTTTTCCTCAGCTTTTAAAATTCGATTTTGCTTATATGTGTATGTGTATACGTTGGTGTTTTAATAAAGATAGTATTCTGAAACGCACTACGCGAACGTACGGGTGCGGACTGTGCAGTAGCAACTGCAACTGCGGGCGTATGCCTATGAACAAATATTAGATAGATCACTGATAGTAATACATTTGGCGCGAAATTGATTTAATCATGTTCATACGCATGTGCGTTTGTTAGTAATCGAAATCTTTTATAAACATATATATAAATTATAATTATCGTAATATTAATTGTCAACATTATTACAATTTAATATCCTAAAAAAATAAAAAAATGATAATAAAAAATAAATTATATATATATTTTTATGCACTGCTGCTATTATATGTTTTTTACATATTTTCATAAAAAATAAATATATAATCTAGTACAAACAACTATTTAAAAATACATATAAATAAGAGCAAAAGATGTAATATTTTATACGTATGTGTCAATTTTTTTTAACAGTTGGTATATTTCTCCCGCGTTTATTAACGCGTAGCGTCATGTTCCGTTTATATCAACATTATGAATGAGTTTTGAGATTAGGTGATTATTAATAATCAAAAAATAGTGTTTATATCATTAATCATTTAACATTTTACATAACGAAAAAATATTTAAATATCATCATTATAATTTATAATTATATTTAAATAACATAAGCAATGTCTTCATTTAATTTAAATGATCTTGGTACTGAATTACAAGATGTTACTCAAAATAATGCCGGTATTGGTGTATCATTTGCAAAAAAATCGCTTAAGCTTGATACTGAAGAAGATGGTAAGTTATTTATTATCTCAATATGAATAATTTATTATATTCTTAAGTTTTATAAGATTATGCAATTCATAAAAACTTTAAGGTTATGTAAATTGAATATTTAATTTTCTGTTTAATTAGCGTTGGAAATAGTCAAAGCAATACGAGCATGTACAAATCTGGAATATTTAGATTTGGAAGGCAATACTTTAGGACCACTTGCTGCTAAAGCTGTGGCTCAGGCATTGGAAGAAAATGGTTCATTAATGAAACGTGCCCTTTGGAAAGATATGTTTACTGGTCGTTTAAAATCAGAAATACCAAAAGCACTTGAATATCTTGGCTCTGCACTATGTACTGCTGGTACTCATCTCTTTGAACTTGACTTAAGTGATAATGCTTTTGGTCCGATTGGGATTGAAGGATTAGCAAATTTCTTGACTTCTAGTTCTTGTTATACTCTTCGTGTGTTAAGATTAGATAACAATGGACTTGGAATATCAGGTGGAAAAATGTTGGCAAAGGCATTATTAGATTGTTATAATAATAGTTTTGAAGCAGGTAAAATTTATTATTAATTTTATTTTAATTTATTATTATTAATAAAATATTATTAGTTTTATTATTATTAATTATATTATTAATAAACTAATAAAATTTCTTCTTAGGCTCACCTCCCTTAGCATTAAAAGTATTTGTTGCTGGAAGAAATAGATTGGAAAATGAAGGTGCAAAAGCATTAGCTTCTGTTTTCCAAAAGTTAACTAGTTTAGAAGAAGTTGCTATGCCTCAGAATGGTATATATCATGAAGGGATAACAGCACTTGCTAATGGATTATCATATAATCCTGGTTTACGAATTTTAAATCTTAATGATAATACTGTTGGATTAAAAGGAGCTCAAGCAATTGCCAAAGCATTATCAAATTTCAAAAATTTAGAACAACTTAATCTTGGTGATTGTTTACTTAAAACTCGAGGAAGTATGGTTTTGGCAGAAGCATTAGGTGAAGGTAGTTATCCATCACTTACTGAACTTAATTTAAGTTATAATGAAATAAAAACAAAGGGTGCCAATCCCATAGCTCTTGCTATGGCTGATAAAAAACACTTGGCAACTTTACAATTGGATGGAAATAATTTTGGTAAAGAAGGCTGTACTATTTTGCGTGATTCACTTACAATTTCTGAAAGAATTGGATCATTAAGTACATTAGATGATGATGAAAGTGATAAAGAAGATAAAGAAAAAGATGAGGAAGAAGATGAAGAGGAAAATGATGAAGAAAGTGATGAAAAAAGTGATGAAAGTGAAAATGAAAGTAAAGAAAATAGAGATATTAATAAGGATACAATTATAAATGGCAACATAACACGATCAAAAATATCCGTTATAGATTTTTTAAAATCACCAACAGGAGAAAATTTACTATTATTGCAAGATGATATAGTACAAGATTTTATAACTTATGCCAAAGTAAATAATTACATTTAATTAAAGTAATATTAATAATATTACAATGAATATTGTATTATGCTTTTTAATAATAATATTTTTCTTTTTTACATTTTAGAACTCATCAAATACTGATACATCTTCGGAATTAAAATTCATTGAAGAGTATACAAGAATAATTATGAAAGTATCAGCACTTAATACAAGTGGTTATGTTGATGTAAGATTAAGAGCTCAAAATCTTACAGATGCATTGTATTCAAAGTTATGCTTTTTTGCAATTGAAAATGATCAGATTTCTATTTGGAATAATGCTTTGCTAGTCAACTTAGGTTTAATAAAAGTAAGTATTTTATAATAGTTAATTTAGATATGTATATATATATATATATTTCAGATAAAAAATAGTATTATTTTCTTATACTTCAGGCAGAAGATAAAAGCAGTGGAAAAATTGATTGGAATTTAGAAGGATGTTTTAAAGCATTAGAAATAGTTAGTCAAAAAGATTATTTTTTACAAGAAACGCGAAATACGTTAAAGTTCTTTTTGGAAAAGCCGATAAGAATAAGCAAAAAAAAAGTTATGGATTCTTTACAAGATTCAAAAGATTCTCTTAAAACTGTTTTAGATCGTATACAAAGCACGTAATAATTATTGAATTATTTTTTATATAATTCTTTTATGAAATATTGATATATCTATTTATTTTTAAATGTTTTGCAAAATGTAAAGATACGAATTAATTATGAATTTTCCAAAATAAAATCGTTGTATCAAATTTTTATAAGTTTTGTTTATATATAAACAATTATATTATTGTGCATATTGTTAATGAAGATACAAATTTCCAAATTATAAAATACCGAAATTATAATAGACTAGAACTTTAGTTAATGGATATAAAAATTATAATTAAAAGTAATGTTTTTATCAATTTGGAATTGATAATATTTGTATCATTTTGAAAAAATAGACTGAAATTCATATAATAAATAACACTTATTAGTAAAACTTAATGTAAAATGCATCGAAAATTATTATGACTCTTAAGAGTTCCTATTATCATAAGAATAAGAATCTTGAATGAAGCTCTTAGTCAATTATATCACAGAACTTTCATTCTGTTATGGACATTGCAGTCGTAGGATTCCAACCAGGCTGAAACAAATCCACTGCTAATGGTGTACAATGTGATGATGGTTGATCCTTCATATACATTGTTGCCTAAATATAAATCATTTATCATTTTATTTATATCAGATAATTATAATTTCATGCATCTATTAACTTTATGTAATTACATACCAGAAATAGAATGATCTGTTGTTTTATTTTAGAATCACAGTCTTGACCAAGCATAGAAGGATAATTTATAATACCATTATTCTTTTCTATATCCTTTGCAACAAAATTTAAACATTGTTTTTCATCAACGTTCACTGTTTCAATTATTGATTCTGCAAATATCAATATTAAAATATTAAAATATATCATTTCAATGTAATATTGAAGGATTAACTTAAAATTTATATTTAATATTGATTTCTTACTTCTAGTAGATATATCTGCAGACAAAAATCTCGCTAAAAGCGCAGCACATTCTGAATTTTCCGCAAAAAGTTCTGGATAACGTCGTATTAAAAATTTTGTAAGCAACATGTTACCTCGATTTCCTGATAAACTATTACCACTAGGTGTACAGACTACTTCATCTTCTGTTCTTCGTATAAGCAATACTGTGCCATTGTATCTAAAAAAAAAAAAAAAAAAAAAAAATTTATTTGTTTATATATAACATATACGTATAATTTATTAAAATTTTAAATATAAAAAAAAAATATACAATATTTAAATATAAAATTGTATGTTCATTTATATATATATATATATTTATGTATGTATATATTTATTCGATATTATAATGAATATTATAGTACCTATTTAATTGTTCAGCAATATTCAAATTAAAGTGATCCCTAATAATATTCCGAACTAAACCCTCTAATGATGAAGACATAGTCATAATAGCTAATGGAAGTACATCATCAAATGTAGCATCTAATACCTATAAAATATTTTATTATAATTTTTCACTCTTAATTTCTTAAAATATTTTATGTAAAATTAGTTGAATTAAATTAATATATAAAATAAATAATGGAGTAATCTTACCAAACTTTGTATAGAAGGATAATTCATAGCAGCCCATGTCGCAGTATATCCACCAATACTCCAACCATAAAGAATTATTTGTTCCTCAGGAAATGTTAAGTAATCGATCGCAAAACGCATTACACAATCGATAGCATTTTCTTCTTGGAGAGGATACGGCGCACCCTTTGTAGTCATTTTCATGTCTTACTGTTATCATTTTACAATCATAGTTTGACTGAATGAGAAGTCTTGCCATTACTTCAATTACATTTAATTTAAATATATAATTGATATTAACTGCAACATTACCAAAATTTCATCTTTGCAATTTAAAACAAAGTATGATAAAGTAATAGCAATTCTTCTCATCAAAGTATCAGTACAAATAAATTATAAAATTTAATATAAAAATAATACTTACAGTACTACAACCAAATCCTGGATGATTCCAACCCAATATGGAATATCCTTTATTCATTGGAGTTGATTTAATACCAGTTTCATAAAATCCACAATTTCCTTCACAAGTAATAACTAATACATTGCCATTTGTTGTTCTATAAAATTAATACATATATGTATAAAAATAATGTCATAAAATAATGCATTTAGAAAAAAAAAACGTTATTAACGTTTACATTACTTGTTACGTTGGTCAATAAATATAGTGTCAATTTCATTTTTATCTGCAGTTAACAATTTGTACCTTTCCCCACCATGCTTTATTAGATGTATTCTTCCTTGTAAAAGTGTAGATCCTATATTAATATATTATATTATTAAGAAAAAATATATACATATTATTAACAATTTGTAACATGTTTATAATAATGATTCATTTAACTTACGAAATATCCAATTAAGAACAGATACACTTCCAGGATATATCATTTTAATAGCAAAAGTGTGAGCTACAATATATGATAAAAACTTACAAGGCAATGTAAATATATATTCTTTACCAGTTTGCCTTTTTATGCGACCACTAGAGACTGCAATTTTTTCTAAAGTCAACTTTTCTCTAGTTGCATCTCTTATGAAAATAAATTTAAAAAGTTAATAAAAAGATAAATATATATTATTTTATAATAAAGAAAAAAGAAATATACCTTTCTATATCGTTAACCTTAAAATCTATAGGTCTTGCCCAAAACTCAAATTCATATTTATCAAGTTCTTGCTTTGTTTCTGCATTATAATGTGCATTTGCTTCATTGAGTGTTTTTAAGAATTTTAAATATACTGGATTAGTGGCTCTAGAACAACCTCGAGCAGTTAATGCTGCAATGAAAATTGCACTAGCACCAGCTGCTAATTTACTCAAAGAAGAAATATTCTCAGTTATAGAAATACTATGTTGATAGAAAAAGATAGCCACTAATGGAATTGTATAAAGACTTATAGACCAAATTGCTGCAAACTAAAATAAATTTATTAATTTTAATATTAATATTACTTTATGAATAATTTCCATTGTTTAATTAATTTTAATTTGAATTATAAAATTGATAATGATTCAATCTTTATTATTATTGCTAATAAGTTAAAATCAATCTTTCTTTTATTAAAGAAAGAATTATAATTACACAATATATTTTTTATAATAAAATACTTACGCAAATTACGATTTGATCGCCCCAGCGTTCTAAACTATTAGGCTCATATGATTTCTGAAATAATTAATATAGACATAACCTAAAATACACTGATCTAATAAATTTGATACACTTTTTAATACATACTTCTACTAAACGTCCGATCCAAGTTATTTCATAAACTTTGAAAAGTCGAGGACCAAAATTACATTTCCAAAGTGTCCGAATGAAAGACATTTCTCATTTGTTTTAAAAATTTCAAATAAATCTGAATTCCAAATCACCAATGTAAAATACGGGACACAGTAACTTAGCAAATCATGCAAAACAAACAGCTATGATTGGTAATGCATTTGTTGAATTAGTATAATTTTAAAAGAATACTGTTAATTATTATAGTGAATTTATTTTATTCTCTTTTTTTAATTTAACGATAATTTTATAAGAATTAAATATAACTATATAATTAAATAAAATTAATATAGATAATTTTTAAATAGAAATAATTAAAAAAAATATATTTGATGAATATTCTTTTTAAATAATTTATTATTATACTTTTACTGTAATTTATGAAAAAGTAATATAAATATTTTAATAAAATTAACAATTATTCTTCTATTAAAAGTTATTAAATATTTTCATTTATATTTATTTTCATTATGAGTAAATTTTTATTTTTATTGCATAAAGATGAAAATCAATGAATTTATATAATTGTATTAATATAATTCTATAAATTTCCAATTTAATTACAATTTTAAATATATTTATAATTATTTAAATACCGCGGTTATTTGATTTACGCGCATTTCATGAATATAGAAAATTAATTGCGATTATATATATAGTATATACTTTTATACAAAAAGCAAATCAGTGTATTGCAAAAATTAGTATTTAACAAATTTTAAATAAATATTTATAATTACATAAATAAAATTAAACTAAATATTTTGAAAAATGTATTTGAAATAATTTAGGGAAAATTGGACAATCTGGATGTGGGTCGATTCTGAGACTGTACGTTAAATCATGCTTTTTGGAACGTATACAGAGAAGTTACTGGAAGATTCGGAACAAGTACGACAGAACAGTAGTTACCGCATATTACGTGTGCGTTGATAATATAATTTTTAATTTCTATCGGCGTATTCAACTTTTTTCAATATGTCAGACTGGGACACTACTCCTATTACTCTGCGAAAACGTCCCCCAAAAGCTTCAGTACTTAAATCGGAACAAGTAACTTTTATAAAAATATTTTGATCTATTTTATCTATAATAATTCTTACATATACTGTTGTGTAATTGTGTTTATTTACAGGCAGTGAATGCTGCACGTCGTCAAGGTTTCGTGGTCGAAACTCAAGCAAAATGTACGTAAACTTCATTAAGTTTGTTAAATTTACGTGATTCATTTTTTAATCTGTGATTGATTTCATGATTTTTGTTGGTTGAAGATATATTCATGTGTTTAAATATTATGAAGATAATATTATGATGCAATATGTGGTATTAAATTCTGTCAACTATTTACAGCTTTTTTCGTAATACAACATAAAATTCATAAAATCAACAAATAATTTTTTAAAAAGTATATAAAGATGAATTGTTCTTTCCTGCAGGGGGTGGAGGAACAAATAAACAACACGTAGCAACTAAAAACACTGCTAAATTGGATAGAGAAACAGAAGAATTAAAACATGATAAAATTCCACTTGATCTTGGTAAATTAATTCAACAGGGAAGACAAAGTAAAGGATTATCTCAAAAAGATCTTGCAACAGTATGTTATTTACTTACATAGCATAAATATGTTATGTATATGTATATCATTTATATAATTATATTGTTATATATAATTATACAGAAAGTGAATGAAAAAGCACAAGTTATCAATGACTATGAAGCAGGTCGTGGAATACCAAATCAAATGGTGATTGGCAAAATTGAACGAGTGTTGGGAATAAAATTACGTGGCAAAGATCGTGGTAAACCATTATCAACTCCTGGGAATAAAAAGTGAATTTTGTGAAGAAGAATCTGTACTTCATACCTTCATATATTGTTCCCTACACAGAACTGCAAAAAAAATTGTAGGATTGAGAACAATTCTCACACTCTAACTTTCGTTATTTTATTATATTCTTTAAAATAAAATGTTATTTTATTAAATATATTATTGTTTATTATAAAGTAAATTGTTATAGTATGTCTTCATGTATAAAATACAAGAAGCACACTCTTATTTAATTTTAAATGTTATGTGTTCAGTTCTCACATTGCAGACATTAATTTATAGATTAATTTATATACAATTTTGTTACATTTTTGAAATACATCTGATTACTATTATTGTGATATACATTTATGAATATATTTTACAATTTGATTAATGTAGGTTAAATAAAATAGTATTAATGCAAATAGAAATAAAAGATTAATATGTGTATGCATATAAATCATTGGTTTGATAACATTTATACATACACATACACATTCATTTCAATGTATAATATGATAAGAATTATAATAGTTGTATATAAAAATAAAAAATTATTAAATAAATATTAATTATTTTTTAATATTAATTTTATTCATATGGAAATTTAATAATACATTATTTTTATTCCATTTCATTAATCTTTTCTCAATGCAAAACTGAAATTTTGTATACCATCACTTGTTATAATTTTAATAAATATGGAATCACCAGTGTAAATATCTCTTTCTGCTGCTGATGTGAAAACATCTTTTATAATTGCAACAGCTCTCTCTTGAGTCAAAGGAACAGGTTCAACACTTTCTTGATTCTTATACCCAATCTAAACAGGTATATTACTTTAACAATAAATTACAATGAAATTTAATATAATTTTTTAATAACATTGTTTAATACCTGATTATCCAAGAGAGGCTGTAAAAGAGCTCCAGCAGAACCACCTGCTCTGTATTTTGTTATTTCACAATGTCCAATGGGATCATAACTATAGACACAACCTTTACCATTTTCATCTAATCCACCAAGAATATTACTTACATAATAAGGGAAAAAACGTTTATAATATAACATTGTTGATAGTATTTGTGCAACTGCTGGTGTTGGCATTTCTTTTTGATGTTCATGCTCATACATCTGTTATATAAAACGAAGATCATAATATATAAAATTATCATAAATATTCAATTTTAATAATCAAAAGAAAACTAATAAATTCTATCATCTAATATATTTTGAAATATTTTTACCTGCATTCGAGCAGATAAAATTCTAGTTAAAGTAAGTGTATCACACCAACAACCTGAACAACCCAAAACAGTTTTTGATGATAAAGGAAATAGTTTTTGTTGTTCACGCGTATAAATAGAAAAACCTGTACTGAGACGCGTATCTGCTGCTATTACACAAAAATTATCTCCTGCAAGAGCTATAACACTCCTATAATTATAATATATAAAATGTATAAAAAATAAAATTGTAATAAAATTTAGATAATAAATGCACAATATTTATTAAGAATAGATAATATATTTGCAATAAAATATTTATATATTAATCTTAAAAAAATGTAGGTTATATTTAAAACTTACCCTCCATTATCAGCATAAGGATTGAAATTTCTCATTTTTGCTCCTTCTGTAGCATAATCTGATAAAGATCTTCCTGGAATTTCACTTAAAAAAACCATTTTTTTCAATATTTTTTATTAAATAAATTTCAAACACTTCTCACCCTGAATGACAATACACTTTGGAGTTAAAATGGCAAGCAAAACAGCATTATTTTCTTATATCAATGAATTATACATATTCAGTGATTGTCATAAATCTGATTGGTTAGTTTATATTTGGTTCTGCAAGAATAAACCAATAATGAAAAATTTATTTTGCCATATCAACAAATAAAATACTTATTTTGAAAGAATTAAAAATATTATTTATTTATATAATTATAATTAAATAAATAATTAAATTATAATTTAAATTAAAGTAAATAAATAATAAAAAAGATAAATAATTATTAAATATATCAAATAATATAATATGTAATATATGATTAAAATGAATCATAAATTAAATTATTTTTATCTTTCCTTTTTAATAAATTAATAATTTAAAATAAGTATAAACTAATAATAAATTAAAATAATAAATATAATTAATAAATAATAAATTAAAATAAATTATTTAAAATTTTGAATTTCTATTGATTAATGTAACAATACTTTGTTGAAATATAATATAAATGTGAAATTTTAGTAAACTATTTATTTTATATTTATCTAAATATATATACATGTAATAAATAAAATCGAATTTCAGCCATGAAATATTTAGTACATGATATTTGGTATAATAATATTCATATATTTATATCATATTACATATATATGTATAGATAAATATATATAGATTTATTTACGATAGTTTTTACATTTCTAAATGTAAAATTATCGTTGTGTCACTTTTTTATTAAATAAATTATTTAAGTGATATCACTTCACGGATGAACGTTGGAAATTTCGATCTGTTAATAGAAATACATAAGAAGTAAAGAAGTATTCGTTACAAATAAAGATAATAAATAATGCAAGAGAAATAGAATAAGAATCGTTAGTGCCATCTTTGAATGTTTCAAAAAATATGATTTCTTACAGAAATATTTTCGATATTTAAAAGGTACTTGGTACTGATAATTAATTCTTTATCTTTCTCCATTTATTATAAATAAGAATTGATTGTCAAGATCATCTCTTAAAAACTAAAGATATTTCTTTAAAGAATTATCTTTCTCAAAGCATTCAAAACACAGAAATGACATTGATGATTAATTCTTATTTATGTTCTATCCTTTTCTATTATTTTCGTTTTTTATTTATATTTGAATTTTATTTGTGATAGTTTAAAGAAGGTAATGATTTTAATATTTTTTTAATATTTTTATCGTATCTCGTAAAAAACGAGAATCAAAACAACAATTTTTGGAAAAATATATAATCTTTCTATTTATCTCTTTCTATTAATCTTTCTATTATCTTCTATATATATTTAAGTCATTATATTTTTAGAAATAATCAGATAAATTAATTTTTAAATTTTTAATACACATTATACATGTAATTTAATATATATTAAAATCATGATATTTATTTTATAGCGATGTTCTTAGGTAGTTGAAAAACGGCGCCATTTTACTAGCAAAAGCGCTCCGGAAACTCAATGGCTAAGAAAGAAAATATTTTTTACACGAATAAATTTAACGAATTATCTTATCAGTATTAAATATACTTTGGAAGAGAAAATAATTTTTTATTTTTTAATAAATAGTGTATGAAAATGGCAACTGATAGTAGAAGACGTGTTGCATTAATTACTGGTATTACTGGACAAGTAAAGTTGACATTTCATGCTTTGTTGACATATTTACTTTATTGTATCAAATATTTAATTTTTCTTATATATTATTGTTTTAAATTGTATAAAGAAATCTTATTTTATTTCAACATAAAATAGACGACTAACAATTTTTTTTAGGATGGTTCCTATTTAGCAGAATTTTTATTAGAGAAAGGATACGATGTACATGGTATAATTAGACGAGCTAGCTCTTTTAATACTGCTCGAATTCAACACCTTTATGAGGATCCAAAATGTCATCGTCAAGGCAAAATGAAGTTGCATTATGGTGATATGACAGATTCCAGTAGTTTAATTAAAGTAATTAGTTCTGTACAACCAACAGAAATTTATAATCTTGCTGCTCAAAGTCATGTTATGGTAAATATCAAGTTTAACAACTTTAAATGATATCTAAAAAACATTTTATATTAATATTTAATAATTATAATTATTATAATTATATATTATATTTATTATTATATTATTTAATAATTATTATTTTTTTATAGGTAAGTTTTGAAGTAAGTGAATATACTGCTGAAGTAGATGCAGTAGGAACAGTTAGATTATTAGATGCAATACGTACTTGTGGCCTTGAAAAATCTGTTAAATTTTACCATGCATCAACATCTGAACTTTATGGCAGGGTAACTCAAGTACCTCAAAATGAAAAAACTCCATTTTATCCTCGTTCACCATATGGTGATTATATGAAAATATTATTTTATTATTTTATAAATTTTAAATTAAACATATTAAATTTTCAGCTTGTGCAAAATTATATAGTTTTTGGATTGTAATAAATTATAGAGAAGCATATAATATGTTTGCTTGTAATGGTATTTTATTTAATCATGAGAGTCCTCGTAGAGGAGAGAATTTTGTTACAAGAAAAGTGACTAGATCTATAGCAAAGATACATCTTGGTTTACAAGATATTCTTGAATTAGGAAATTTAGATGCTAAACGAGATTGGGGACATGCAAAAGATTATGTTGAAGTAAAAATATATATTATTTGTATTTATTTTTTATAATATTGAAAATAGATTTTAGATTACTTACTAAATAGATATTCTGAGATTTATATACCATATTCTACAGGCAATGTGGTTAATGTTGCAACAACCAACAGCAGATGATTATGTTATAGCAACAGGAGAGACACATAGTGTTAGAGAATTTGTGGAAGCAGCATTTCAATATGTAGGTCGTACCATTAAGTGGGAAGGTGAAGGAATAAATGAAATAGGACAGGATGTACAAACAGGACAAATATTAGTTAGAGTGAATCCTAAATATTTCCGTCCAACAGAAGTAGTAAGTATTTATTGCATATAACGATAATTATAATACAATATGATACTATTATAATATTATTAAAAAAAAATGAATATATATAAAAAATAAATATTTATTTTATCTATATAGGATGTACTTTTGGGTGATGCTACTAAAGCAAAAGAAAAAATTGGTTGGAAACCTACTATTACATTTGAGGTATTTATATAAAATTATTATTCTTTATTCTCATGCTAATATTTAATTATCAATTAAATATTTTATGTTTAATAAACAAAATTATATGTTTTAGAATCTTGTAAAAGATATGATGGATTCTGATTTAGAATTAATGAGGAAAAATCCAAATGCTTAAAATTATTTTTAATATCAAAAGTTAATTAATTAATATTAAAAATACATTCTATGATGTCTCTGTGAGACAATAGTATTTAAAAAATTGATTTGTTAGATTATAAGAAAATTCGAATAATAATTTATTCGTTTGTTATATATTCTTAAATCTGATACAAACAAGTTTTTTTTAAACTTCCTGATATATTAAAAAATAGCTTTATTTAATATTTGATTTATATATATTAATATTAATGATATGTAATATATGTGAATATTAAATATTATTTAATTTTATTAGATATAATCTGCATATATCATAGATATATGTTGTAAAATCATTTATTATTTTTTATTTACTGTTGCATTTTAAAGACGTATGCATTCTAAAAATTATAATTATGCATTTTTATTCAAAAATAATTTTATTTGCTGATAGATGCACAAGATTATTAAAATAATTTACATATATAATGTCTTCCTCGTATACATGTTATGTATAATTTTGTACATAATGTACCATATTTTAGAGTAATCATTAAATAATACTTTTAATCTTTGTACACACAATATCCAATGTATAATTAAAAACATAAACACATTTTTATAATAAACAGTATTCATTTTATATTCTATACAAGTGTTTTCAATAATATACTCTATTTTTTGCTTTACAGTACATTGAACAAATTATAAAATATAATGATATTGATTATTCCATTTTAAAATCTTAAGTACAAACAATTCATATTCAAATATTTAAACTGGAGCTTTATTCGTGGATTTTCGCAAAATATTTTCGATTGTGAACATCATCGATTTTACACAATGTCCTTGAGCTTCTGTGTATATTATTTTACTATTTCGTGTATTCTCCTCAGTATTCTTCGTATCAACTGTTTTACACTCTTGTTCATTTTTTTCTTTGCATTTCAAATTGGACAAAATTTCCGACGAAACCTAAAATATCAATAATATAAAAAAATTTGAAAAAAAAATATTACTATTCGACGCTTAAAATTTTATAGCATTTAATTGGAATAAAATTAATTTTTTACTATCAAAATAAAAAAAAAGAAAAAAAGTACAAATAAATCTTTTTTAAAAAAAAATGATTTAATTTGTACCGAGACCATCGTGCGATGTTGTTCCATCTGTTTATCCTGTATAAATCCTTTCTGCCTTCTCATTCTTCTTCTTCTATAATTACCATGCTCAAACATTTCGCTCGCTGAAGGATCTAAAGTCCAATAACTCCCTTTTCCAGCCTGATCCTCAGCGTTATCATTCCCAACCACCTTGTCTCTTGGTATTTTCACAAAACAATCATTCAAACTTAGGTTATGTCTTATACTATTTTGCCATCCTTGACGGTTTTCTCTATAATAAGGAAATCTGTCCATGATGAATCTATAAATGCCGGAGAGGGTTAGTCTCTGTTTAGGCGAAGAATTAATAGCCATGGCTATTAGAGCGATGTACGAATATGGTGGTTTCTCGTAACGTGGTTGTGGTTTGTATCTTATTATGGGAAGATCCCATAGGGGTATACTTCTCGGATTTAATATATCCGGTACCAAGCTATAGTAATTTGGCAAAGGACACATCGTTGGGAATGTTTCTTCCGTGCTCCATAATTCGCAACCTCTGGATAGATCACAGCTATAAATCTTCGATATGGAGAAGGGATGATTTTGATAACTATTCGACTCCATCGGAAGATGAAATGATCGACGCGCTCGATAATTCGATGTCAATGCACTTTTCACCGATGTTTTGTTCTTTAAGAAAAATTAATATTGGATTTTTTTTTAAATTTAACGTATTTTCTGAAGTTGTATTATTTAATTTGATACAACTTTACTTTCTTTTACCATTCGTCTCTTTGTTACATACATTAAAATTATTATCTTTTTTTTATTTATTATTATATAAAGAAAAAATGAAATTAGATTATAAATTTTTCCCCGAAAATCATCGAATCGAAGTTTATTTAGTATACATATACAATTTCACTTTCTTCTTGCTCTCGTTTCATCGTATTCCCGCAAATTGTCCCCATTGATCTTCGTTTTCGGTATCCTCAATTTATGTTCAAAATTCGAAACACGATCGCGATTTCCACAATTTTTCAAATAAATAATTTAAATCAATTCGTCTCTTCGATCCATTTCTTTTTCAAAGATCGATAAAGCTTTTTGACAAGAAAATCCTCGTCAAAGAAAACCGAACTATACATTCTTTCTCAATACATTAAACGATTATTTAGACCGCTTCACTTCCACGAACAATTAGCAGTTTTCATAATGCAAAAAAAGTATCCACTAGAATCAATTTATATATATATATATATATATATATATAGGAATCTTGTCTTGCGAACTGGTCCGAGTTGGTATCGCATCGAAGACTGATTCCAATTTCCGACCGGTTAGATCAATCCTCTAACTAACGAAGGGTGTTTAATTTGACGTGCGGAGGAGCATCTAGAGGATGGACCAGCTCCGCCCATCTCTGCTTCCTGGAGATACGTCGTTCGCGCGTTTCAAACGCGAGGGAGGTGTCGGTTACCTATCCGGGACCCGTGGCTACATGTTTTATTGCTGTTTACACATATGCTGTCCCAACACCCACGCCGGCAGTAAACGAGCCGATACGTAAACAAAGTTGCGGTAATTATACCGAAACCGTGCCGCTTCTTGGAACCGCTCTTCCCTTGCGCGCTCTCGCCACCCTCTCTCCCACGAGTTCGGCTTGTGACTTCTCGTTTGGGGGGAGGGAAGGGGGAGATATCCAATTTTCAACCACCCTCTTCTCACGAAGTTTCGCGACTCCGCATTTTTTCCTGTTGGAAAAAAAGAAATAAATAGGAGAAATTTTCAAATTTACTAAATTTATTTCTCTATATATATTTTTATTAATGATTTTATTATTATCGTATTAGCGATCATAATGTTGCGTATTAAAATAAAACGACGATATCAAAGATTGTCTATGCTCTTTTCTTATTTATTGTATTATATTCAACATTCGTTTCTTTTTTTTTTTTTTTTTATAATATCAAACAAATATTCATTATATCTTTTATTTCTATATATAAATTTTCTTTTTCTTTNTTTTTTTTTTTAATACTAAGCGAACGATAAAGAAAAATATCACGAGACGAAATAATCTTCTCTCCGCTGATTTTTAACGATCCATTAACTTAAAAATATTTCTTTCAATCGTGTTTTCGTGAAGAGGCGAAGCCACAGCTTGCGCGAAGATACGGCAACCGTAACCGAAAATGGAGAGATCAGGAGAAGAAACGTGGTTATTTGTTTATTCACCGTTTCTGGTTCCGTCCTTCGAGCTTCGTTCCATTTTGAAATATTAAGGAACAAATCATCGTCGATCTGACGTCAGGAGGAAACCGGCGGATTATCGTGTTCAAAGCTTGGGGAGCTACCTTGGCCCGACCGCTCCCGGGAATCCTCGGCATGTTCTTCGAAAAACATCCAGAATTGTCTTGGTCGCGTTAATCCTGCCCCCCTGCTTTCCGTTCCTTAAATCATCCCGATGGTATAAGTAAAGAAAAACATTTATAGAAGCCGCAGAAGCAGATGGTAAAAATAATTTTCGTCTCGAAGGAAAGTCACCTCGCGTCATTTATCGATAAAATTGAATTATCGTCCTTCGATATAAAAACTCTTCCAAACTCTCTTTCCTTTAATGAAAAAAATCCTTTTTTCTTTTTTTGTGAAAAGCGATAAAAAAGAAAGAGGAAAAAGTAAGGAAGATTGGAGATATTAAAGGGGGAGGGGGGGGGGAGGGAATAAAAAGGAGGGAAGAAGGTTCAAGGTCCAAGCAAAGGGGAGAAAGTAGTCTCTTTCTTCTTGTTTTATTTACAGATTCGGGCAACCGCACGAGCGGTTTCCTCTTCATTGGCGAAAAATGGCCCGCAAGCGCAGGCGGTCTTGTTTGCGGATTGCGTTTCGTTTTACTGCCCGGTATCCGCTCGAATCTAAACAATCGTTCCTTATTGACAAAATCGGTGGGCGTCTGCGGGTTTAGCCGGTTTCGGATTGTTGCTACTGCGACGTTTTACGAGTGTGGGAAAATTCACAGCGCGAGCAGAACCTCCGGGGCCCCGGCTCAATTGCAAAAAATAAACGAACCGCCCCTTTCGTGACGGCGAATTTTCTCGGAAATAACCGTTAACCGTCGTTAAAATGGACTCTGGTAACGAGTAACGCGGGATCGAGATGTTTGACGATCGAATTTATCCCTTCTCTTTCTTCCTCTTTTTACACAGTATATATTATTGGAATATATGAACAACGTCGAATCGAGATCGAATTTTTCTCTTTTCTTCCTTCTCTCTTCCTCTTTTTGCACAGTTTATATTATTAAAATATAAACATGGAACAACATCGAATCGGGATCAAGATGTTTGAGATCCAATTTTAGATTAGAAGATTTTATTAATTTTTTTAAGGAGAGAGAGACAGAGAGAGAGACAGAGAGAGAGAGAGAGAGAGAGAGAGAGAGAGAGAGAAATTGATCAGTGAAAGAATAATATACGATAAAGTATAAATTTATGTATGTAGCTCTTTTCACTTATTTATTTTACACGAATTTTAATTTATTTCTGAACTCCATTTCTCAGTCGTCGTACGATTTGATCTCTTGAAATTTGATTTATTGTTCCGTGAATTTTTCCAGTATCCTTCCCATTGCTGCTGGATTGTCCTTTGGTACCTGTGCGACGGAACAATTCTCATAAATCACACGATCTCTATAATGAAGAATTGAAATTTAATCATTTATAGTTATTTACCATGTGACCGGCTCTGTTCACCCAGTACATGGCGAAATTGTCGTAAGATTTCTCATAACCTTCTATGATCTCCTGCACCACTAAGGGATATCTGGAAGAATATTGCCACAAATTTGCGTTTTTCCAGTTCATCTTCTCAACCCAATTTAAAGTTCCTATATCATGGATAATGAAAAAAGAATAAAAAAATAAAAAAATATTAGATACCAAATTAAAAGAAATATAGTTTGATATAGTCGAATGTATATCAGGAATGAAATAAAATATACCTGGAGTGTCGACGATGAGATCCATGTGACCGGTGATCACGGCAACTTTTAGATCAGTTTTGTTCAATAATTCCTCCACTGGATAATAAATTAAAAATTAATCGTGTTTTTAAAAATCCCGTATACAATTCAAGATTCAAATAATACCTATATTGACTACAGGTTTCATGAAATCCTCTTGCAACTTGGTGAATACCATATCTGATTGATCGCCGTGGTTAACCGGAAGTTGCAAAGCTTCCTTCACGGGTCCATTCATAAGCCTGTTTAAGATGGCTTCGTTGAACGTGGCGTATTCTAAAATATAATAGAATTATAGAATTCTATGATGTACAATTCATAAAATACAATTTTACCTCGAAGGAACGGTTTCGACCGAATTCTCTTCATGAGGGAGAGAGTCCCGCTAGCTTCCATTTTCGTTAAGATATTATAGAAATCGATATTATCGGTAACTTCAGCGACCACTGCCTCCGCGTTGATCCAAAGCATCGTGGCCGTCCTCCAGCTCTTCGTTTCCACGGCATTTTTCGTCTTTTGAGCCATTTCATCGATCTTCTTGTACCCCTCGGTGTCCACCATGCCCTGTCAAGTGAAAACATTTCTACTGAAAACTCAATGTAAAAAGAAATGGATCGGTTGAAAGAATTAAGGAGACCAATCGTCGTACCGTGGCGAGTAAGAAGGGCGCCCAACTCATCACGGAGTCGACGGGAGAGATCCACGCGTCACCGAGGGCGACACCCTTCAAATTGCTCTTGATAATTCTCTTTTGCTGCGCCTGCAATGTTTAGAAAGTGAATAACCAGGAAAACGATACGAATTTTTAGATATCGAGACGAGCGTTCTTTTTTATTGCTCGAGTAGTTGATACGTTTTACGATATATATATATATAATAGTTGACACGAATGCGGGATGAAAGTTAACCTATTAAAAGTGTCGGATTAAGCTTTTTAATTTACAACATTCTTAACGTTCTTGCGATTATTTCAAGAAATCTCTTCTCTTATCGTTTCTAAATAATTTTATAAGAAAAAAAAAAAAAAAAAAAAGTTGTAAACTTCACCTTGTACCATTGAAGAGCGAATTCCGCTCCCATTTTCCCTCCGTAAGATTCGGTCGTGATATACGTGGGCACATCTTGGAATTCCGGTAATGCTTTCAGGAAACCTTTCATACATTCGACGAGATCGTGAGCAATCTCCGTGTTTGTTCTCGCGTATCCGCTCGATAACGTGGTGTAACTGAACCCTGTACCAACTGGGTTGTCGATGAAGAGGACATTGTAATTTTTCACCTGCGAATTTTTTTTTTTTTTTTGATATTTTTATCCGTAATATCCTAAGATACGATGAACGCGCCACTTTTGAAAAAGAGAATAAACAAATTCTTCTGAATCGAATCTTAAAATTAAATCTAAAGAAAAAAAAATTATATTAAATTTTGGAATTTAAATCAATTTAATTTTCGTGAACGTTAATGTTAACATAATTTTTTCTAAGGTAATTTCGAAATTCCTTCAAACTATAAATATATATATATAAATACACACACGTACGATCTTCGAAGTTTATTTAAAAAATATAAAAAATACACGCGTTAATTCTTAATTGGATTTTAATGGATTTCTCGATAATTGAAATTGAAACGTTCGATAAAAACGTGCGATTAAGAAGATTGATCACTTTTCAACGACCAGATTGCGAAATCAAGTTTCTTTTTTTTGTCCTGTTAATAAAACCTGTTAATTATACTCGGAATCGATATCTCGCCCGTTACAACATTCCATTTACACAAAAAGAAGAAGAGAACACGCGATAAAACACGCGGTCAGACACTTCAGAGTAAATAATAAAAGTTGTTCGTGTTTAAATATGGCGTCGAACAATTGCGCCCCCTACCCAGGAGAAGTTTCTCGGCGTCAAATCGACGTCCAAAGGTCCGAGTTCCTCAAAGTTCCCATAGGAGGTGGACGATGCTCCCGGCCCACCTTGCAACCAGATAATCAACGGTTTATCGTAATAGGAGGACACGTTGGCGGTGGTGTAGTAGAGCCACCAGAACATGTGCGAGGCGGGTCGCACTTTCACGTATCCCCATTCCTGTTCTCCAGGGCCGAATCCTTTTCTCGCTGAAAGAGGAAAATAAAATAAAATAAAGATAAAAATTTGACGACGAAACGATTTTATTATTGTAATACGAATTTTCGCGAGAAACATTTCGACGAGATTTCGTAATTTATTCGATGTTAAATTTTAAAATCGAGGAACGATGGTGTTAGTGGTTCGATCTAGGTTATTATTTCTAGAAGTAATCAATCATTCACGGTGGTAATGATTTAGAGGGGAAATGAATAGGATAGAATTATAATATGTGAATTTTTATCGATGCTAAAAAATTGTTCCTTGTTTATCTTTTAATTTTTCTCTTCTTACAATAATTTCTTTCATCGATCGTATAGACGATCGGGAGAGTTAAAAGGAGTAAGAAGAAAAGATTTAAAGGCAAAAGTAAACAGCTTGAAACGGCGAGTTTCAACTTGGATACTTAGGCATATTTACCGAGATTTAGGATATGGCAGAGCAAATATAGGAATATACACACGTATATATATATATATTTTTCTGCAAAATGAGCGGTCTTAGGTGTTTCCAGTAGCATCGGTCTATTGCGAAATTTTTTTTTTTTTTTTACTCGTATACATACGTAAATACATTATGTAAAAATATCACGTAAGAGAAAAATTTTCGAAAAATTTTTTCTTTATTAATTGGAAGAGATTTAAATTTAGAAACGACAGATAAAATTTGAATTTAAAATATCCTTTTGGAATTTGCTGGAACAATGCTGGATAATACGATCGTTATTTCGAAAATAAACGATAATAAGGATAAATTATTTCAAACTGTCTATATATATATATATATTCACTTTTTCCTGTAATTAAATTGTAAAAGTTAACTTTTCTAATATCGTGAGATTAAAAGTAACGATGGATGGTAATTGAAACGAATAATGGTGGCAAAAGTATAGTTACCAAACGCTTCAGAGGCGAAGCAAAGTGCAACGAGCAGTAATATCGCGGGGAATCTCTTCATTGTTGTTGGCCGAATAACAGTCGCACGATGACTATTGAAAATCAATCTCGGATAGATCTTATGGATCGCGTTATCTGTCGTTGTAGCGGTCGATCGATTAGATATACCGATTAATTCTTTCGTTTCCAAGATTTCCCCATTTTTCGGTGCCCCAATCGATTGCGATCGAACAATCGGATTGTGAAACGATTGCAATCCTCTTCTCGGAATAGATAATAGACCAAGGTATAAATAATTTTTGTAGTTATTTTATTTATTCAAATTTAAATAAGTTTAGTGTTAAGTTCAAGCTGATTTTCAGAAATATTTAAAGAGAATTTTTGTCGTTATTTTATTTATTCAAATTTAAATAAGTTTAATGTTAAACTAAGTTCAAGCTGATTTTCAGAAATATTTAAAGAGAATTTTTATCGTTATTTTATTTATTTAAATTTAAGTTTAGTGTTAAGCTAAGTTCAAACTGATTTTCAGAAATATTTATAAGGAGAATAAAAAAAAAAAAAAAAGAATAGAAGAACGAATGAAACAGAAATACGAAGTTAAAGCTAGAGCTGTTTGAGTTTTTGAATAATTCTTTTTTTTTTTTTAACATTTTTTTAATATTTCGAATATATTTTTTCTTTCGCGGTAAATGTTCTATTTTCTTTGACAATTTTTTTTTATTCCGTAAAAATGAAACCGACAAAGCGATTATAACAGTTGTATAAATAATTTGTGAAACCAAGTCGTCCGGTGGAAGGTCAAGTTTGAGGAGAGAATTCAAAAAAAAAAAAAAAAGAAAAAGAAAAGAAAAAAAACTCGAAAAACTCGTCTGTTTTCTAGTTTCGATACCATTGATGTAACTTGTAACACTTGTATCTATGTATTGGAAGTGTGTAAAACAGGAATTTCGACTGGTTTATGTGTCAACCGTTCAAGAATATCGACCTAAACACGAAATCTTATGAGAACATGAATTTGCCGGTCTGGTAAGGTAATCGAATAATTCATTATCTGGTATTCAAGATCTCGTACTATTTATGACATATTCTTTCTCTCTCTTCGAAAACACACGCTTTCGATATTAATGGAAATTGGAATTCTTGAAATTTCTCATTATATATCGATATTATTCCAAAGTTGTATTAATAATATTCGTGATTATATACGATAAAATATCGATACTCTCGTTTTTTACGTTTCTAATCCCGTGCTGTAATAAAATCGCGTAAACAAAAGGAGAGAGAAAAAAAAAGAAAAAAATCACACCATATGTGAATCGAGTATATCGTATTTAATAATCCCTGATTGTATACGATAAAATATCAGCATTCCCATTTTTTACCTTATTTTTAATCTTATATTATAATAAAATAAACAAAAGAAGTTATATCCGTGATTATACAAAATAAAATATCGATATTCCCATTTTTTGCTGTATTTCTAATCCTATAGTATAATAAAATCGCGTAAACGAAAGAGGAAAAAAAAAAAAGAAAAAGATTTTGCACAACGATACATAAATATATATAAATATGTAAATCGAGTATAACAGTGAATATCCGTGATTATTACAATATATAGAATATCAGTATTCTAATTTTTTTACTCTATTTCTAATCCCATGCTATAATAAAATCGTGTATACGAAAGGAGAGAGAGAGAGAGAGAGAAAAAGAAAAAGATTTCGTACAAAGATACACAATATGTAAATCGCGTATAGCAGTGAGCGTAATGTATGTCATATGTCGTATCTTAATACGATAAATAAATTTAGTATTAAAATTAGTTATTTCGTCCCATAATTTACATACGCTTTCGTCTTACAACCGGATCATCCGGGTTATATTATGTAAATTTGGGCGGGAAAACGGTATTTGGATATATATATATATATACAGTTGCGAAATGCACGTTTTCACTTTATCATAATATCTCGACGATATTTCCACGCGAGATATTGAAATTTATTCGAGTTACGAGGAACAGTCATCGGGAAAGTGAACGAGACTGAAGTACCGAGCGCATCAATTAACACATTCATAATATTCACGCGTCAATGAAATTTCATTTCCGTTTTCCTGCTTTCCAGATTTATTTTATTTTATTTTTTTCCCCCACTTTTTATCCTCGTCTCTTTCTTATCGTATATTTCTATCGTGCTATTTGTATAACATAAAAAAGAAGAAGAGAAAGTATATCATTATCAAAAGATAATGATATAACAAATTCTTAATATCTTAAATTATAATTTAACAGTCTTGACAGAATTCATCATCAATATGGCTCGATTATAATAAAGTGAATACTTTTATTAAATTAAAAAAGCGTGGAAAAATGTGGACAATATCTGATGCGATTAACGATTATAATTTAAATATCTTTTACGAAAGTAAAAAAGTTTCAGTAAGCGGAAATAGGTTCTCAAATTCAGAAAGAATAAACACCGTAGCAAATAAAAATGATAAGTCGTTACTTCCGACGTAACGAGGATGAAGAAACAAAATTATAAGGATAATAAGTGACACGAAATCATCAAGTATATAATATACGGTTATTATTTCTTACCTATGACGGTTCCCTTTTTAATCTCTCTTAAAAAAAGTGAAATCGCGATTCACTTGGAAAGCGGTCCACAGAATTGCAGGTTATGCGAAATTTCGCAAAATTTCCCGAACGCATCTCCTTCGATGTCTTCGAATATACCTGTAACAAGGAAAATCGCAGTCGAGGGTATCGCAAACACACTTGTTTCAACCTAATCGATTGCAATTGAGATTTTTTTCTTTTCCTTTTCTTTCAAATATTTATCCATCAGCGTACAACAACTTCGATTGGAGGATACAAGATTTTTGAGGTTATACACGCGCATAGCCTATGTTTTACGACACGGATGACACGCTTGTAACGTATTACACAATTTTCTCCGTTACGAAGTCAAAGAAATGAGGCACATCGTAGCTAATAAGAATCCTAGTCACGAATCGTGCGATTAGGACCGTTTTGGAATGCAAGTTTCTTTCTTAAATTGTACATGACGATCATTTTGGAAGGTTTTCTACGTTTTGATTACATTTTATATTATATTTTCTGGATTTTTTTTTTTCTATAAATTTAATCATATTATTTTTGCTCAAATAGATATTGTATCTAATTTTTCAACTTCTTTATTAAATTCTGTACAAATTTTTCGATCGAAATTTAACACCGTGATATTTTTATTTGATAAAAAAATACGTATATAAAAAAAGAAAAGAAATAGAGAAAATAGAATTTCTATCTATTATATTTCGTTTGATTCATCCTCGCGGCTAGAAATATTGAGAAACATACATGCATACATACGTATATATATATATATTTTTTTTTTCCTTTTTTTCTTAATCGCGGTTCAACGACGAATGCTCGAACGATGACGCTGTCACTTTCTCCCTCGTAACTATTTTTCACTTTCAACGTGCGTACGCGCTCGATGGGGAGCATTTCTCCGTTGTTAAGTATCAATTTATTCGAATCCGTGTTGGGGCAAATCGATTATCGTTAAAATCATGATCGATTATAACCGATCCTTTTAAAGAGAAAATTACCAATACAGCAATTTTATCTTGCCACTCGAACTTCTTCACCTGTTAAACGGTATCGACGATCAAATTGTTATCGAGATAATAATAATTAAAGTGCCCCAATCGAATTTTCTTGATTCCGTCACTTTTTTGATAATGGGTTTTTTTTTTTTTTTAATTATTGTTGAAATTTCTTTGTCGTTGTTAAAATTTCTTTGTCGATTATCTACGATATGTTGTTATATGAAAGTCATGTAGATTTTTATAAAAAAATCATTTGACAGAGAAAAAATCGCTATACATATTTTAGAGCAATCTTTTATTTACACGTATTTTTTTTTTTTTTTTTGTATACGTATAAATGTCAATTTAATTTCTTTTAACGAAGAAAAACCACTACATTTTGATAAAACGGTAGTTTTGCAATTACACATTAATTTTACGATTTATCATTTATATTATCATTTACTTAGTAAATAATTAGTCAAATATCTTATTATGCCATTCTATTATTCTATTATGTGCTGGAAGATAATAAGTGTGATAGTAAATTGCCACTTATCCACTTTTGATCATTAATTCATTTGTCTAATTGCAAACTATTAAAAATTTCACCTTTTAACCTTTTCCCCCGTTGTCTTTCCTTTTTTTTTTTTTCATTCATTTTTTTTTACACGAATGACACTTGATTCGATACTTTCGTGTCTACAACTCTCTTTAACATCGTTAAATCTGTATCAAATTTGAAAACACGTCTTGTTCTTCGACAACGAATTGCTTTGTTATATAATATCAAAAAAAAAAAAAAAAAAAAAAAATCAAAAAACAACGTACGTATTAATCGAGGATGGTACACGAGAAATGGCACGTGAAAAATGAAATATCTCGAATAAATCGTGGGTGTTACGCAAATTCTTGACTTCCGAAATTGAAAGTAATTACCGTTATATAAGATTGTTTCCGGATTCTCTTTAGGAGAAGGAGCAAACAATTTCGTTCGAGGTCTATGTCGAACGAAAAAATATATATATATATATAGCTTGCGCAATCAATATTTCTTTTGTGTCGTGAAACTTTCGACAATCCAAAAAAAAAAAAAAAAAAAAAAAAGAGAGAGAAAAACTTTCGTTAGAAAATTAATAAAATTAAAATCGTCAAATTTTTGTTTGAACGTCGATATGTATATATAAAATAATGGAAGTATTTGATAATTTTTTTCAATCAACTTTCAAAGTGGTTTTTCATATTTTGTTAAACGCAACAAATTATAAAGAACAAAAAGAGTAGAAGAGATCTGAAGCATTGTCAAGGATTTCCTTTTAAAGGAGAGGAAAAAAATTTTTGATAAAAGATAATTCACGGTATGAAAAAGCAAAAGGAATTATTGCAATGGAATAACCACTTACTTAAAGATAAATATACACAATATCGTTCCTTCGATAATCTATATCAATTAAATTGATTAGAAAATGTCTGCAACACGATCTGTTTTACATCGATACGGTTCGCTTAGATTCGTTTGTCTTTTATTAGAAGCTACCAGCGACGAATAATAAAGTTCACTCGTTGCTTGTCTTACACGTTAAAATGGATCGTTCAAAAAATATTAAATAATTGCTCTATATACTTTTTTCATTGCACAATGTATAAATAATTTAAAAAAGATACGATCATTTCGATTTCGTTATCTAAATTATCGGATTCGATCTGAAAATTATCGAGAGGAAATGGATGAGGAGAATCGAAGAGATCGAGAGATTCGAAAAATTTCAAAAATAAGAAAATATCCTTTCTTCTCTTTCTTTCTTTCTTTTGAGTGATTTTTTTTTTTTTTTTTACTCGGATCACAACCATAAGTGTGGTTGTAAAAAACTTGCAAAAACAACAATATCCATCTATCTGTCCAGAGTGTAATTTTAATAATAACCATCTCTCTGTTGAAGTTGTTGTTTTCGACCTTTTTTTATCGCGTAAATATACAATTAGAAAGATCAATCAAATGCCAAACGTTCCGTTTGGATAAGTTCAAGTTAATAAAGATAATGAAAATAATAGGTGGCAGGATGCGAGGATCGAGATAGAGGCGAAGGGAAAAAAAAAGTAATAATGGAGAGGAGCAGGAGGAGGAGGAGGAGGAGGAGGGGCCCGATCATGGAGAATTCTTCCTTGAACACAGTGATTTCTCTTTGGATTGTTTCAAAGGCGAATTAAGGGTGAGAGGAAGGGTGATGTCGATGATATTGTATGTATATGCGAATTAATCGCACGACACGTGAAGATTTTTATATAGTTGCTCGCGTGAGATTCGAATCTGTTGAGTTCTTTGATCTCTCCTTGAATTTCTATATTAATATGTTATTATACAGGTGTGATGTAATTACGTAATATTAATATTTGCGATTAATTTTAGAGATAAGTAATTATCTTTTTTTTTTTTTTTAAATACCTTTACAATTAACTCAAGTAACTCAAATCAATATATATATGTAAATTTGAAAATATTTTATTATCGCATTAAATTAATAATCATTTGAAATTTCTTTCAACTTTCAAAATACGATAATATGTGGATTTCTCATTTGCGGTTTCGAAAAGTAGTCTACTTGCATGGTTTACGTAATACTGGAGAGAGAATCTTTTTTTTTTTTATTCTACTCAATTACACGCGTCAAACATTTATCTTGGTTTTCGAGAAGAATTTATTTACCATCGTGATGAAAGTTTTTCGCATCCTTTTATAAAGATTCCTTTCAATATTTTTATTTAAATGTCTAAAAATTTGAAAACTTGAGAAATATTTGAGAAAGAAAGGAATCGATTCGAAAATTTACATTCCAACATTTTTTCTCATTTACAATATTTTCTCATTTCGAATCTTTGACATTTTCGAATCTTCGATACTTAAATTATTCTCATCCTCTATTTTTTTCCGAATGATGAATTTTCGGATCGAATCGGATAATTTAAAGGAAACCGAAGAGTGAAACTGTTTCGAGATTGCCTCCATTATCTCGCAACTCACGTAAACCGCTTGTGTATTCCAACAAATCTAAAATCACGATACGTGCCACGTGATACTTGTTACTTATACGTCGTATTTGTTGCGTGCAAAACAAGTATCCATGAGTTTCTAACGCATTTTTCGGCCATTGAATTCCCAAAGATTATTTGCAACAATTATATAACGTATTGCAAATATATAACTTTCTAACCAAGTTGGTATGGCAAGATATACTCCTCCATCACGTTAACGAAATATTTGTCTATTTATCTATCTATCTATCCTTGTTTCGAATATATCGATAAAATGAAACAGAGATAACGATTTCATGGAATAAAAAGAAAAAAATGTATATAAATATAAATAATGTCTAAGATTAAATATTAATAAGAATAGAATTTGTAAACTCTTTTAAGCAAGCTTGTAAAGAGGGTATATCAACAATTCGATCGAATTCTCGAAAACACGAAACAGCATCGGTCGTGTATTTTCGGCGAATTTTAATGATCTGTTAGTTTATCCTCGCAGACGAATGCCGTAGAACAGATTGGCATCGTATATTTCCATAGACACGCCCCCAAAGGAATAAAGAAAGTGACGAAGAAAGAAATATTTGTAGCGATTTCTTTTACATACAACAAATAACTCGATTATTCCATTATTCTTTCATTATTCTTATTCGCGAATAAAATGATATTTTATTTTATTTTCTCTTTTTATCCATGTTATTCAATATATACATATAATTTTTTTTTCCAAATTCAAGATTTTATTACATAAAGCAAATACAAGATTACCCAATTGTTTCAATCGAATAGATACCACTTGTTCGATGACTCCTAATCTTTCTGCTAATTCTTCTTGCGTCTGGATCGGATTTTCGTCGAGCAATTCGTCTAATTCATCGTCATCAAACTTTCTTGATGCACTTGAACGTCTTCCAATCGTCGTCTTCCAAATTAAAATTTCCAAAGGTTTTAAATCTTTGGTACGACTTTTCGCATGTTCTATAAGATATAGCGTTCTCTCCTAGTCACGCACAAACCACTTCAATAGTTTCAACAGCTGATTTCCTAAGCTGGAATGTAAAAAGTAAACAGTGACACGAATGATATTTCTCGCACGCCATA